GTGTTTATTTTTATACACCCTGTATATATATATATATATATATATATATATATATATATATATATATATATATAACTACAGACGGTACCGTCTCGGCCTTTTGGGCCTCATCAGTGTATTGCTGATGAGCAGGTCGAAAGCACAGAATACTACACAGAAGGCCATCTCCATTGTTTTTAGCGTAAGCGCTATTCGTCATGATTCGTCACTCAGCAAGTACCGTAAACAGAAGCAGTCTCCCCCCTGGAAATACTAAAAATGGCGCATGTCCAGGGGGGTGACTGCTTCTGTTTACGGTACTTGCTGAGTGACGAATCATGACGAATAACGCTTACGCAAAAAAAAATGGACTTCTGTGTAGTATTCTGTGACGAAAGTAACCACTATAAATAGTTACCTTTGATGTCTCACGAATGTGGGACATCAAACCATTGCCAGAGTGCTCAAACTACAAGCAGTGAGCATGCGCACAATGCGTAAGCAGCAATGGCTCATCCTGTAGAGTGCTCAATATGACACAAAGGCCATAGAGCAATATCTAACTACAGCGGACGGTACCGTTTCGGCCTTTTGGGCCTCATCAGTGTAGTGCTGATGAGCAGGACGAAAGTAACCACTATAAATAGTTACCTTTGATGTCTCACGAATGTGGGACATCAAACCATTGCCAGAGTGCTCAAACTGCAAGCAGTGAGCATGCGCTCAATGCGTAAGCAGCAATGGCTCATCCTATATATATATATATATATATATATATATATATATATATATATATATATATATATATATATATATATATATATATATATATATATATATATAACTACAGACGGTACCGTTTCGGCCTTATGGGCCTCATCAGTGTAGTGCTGATGAGCAGGATGAAAGTAACTGCTATTTACAGTTACCTTTGATGATTGTGGGACATCAAAACCATGCCAGAGCGCTCAAACTGCAAGCAGTGAACGTGCGCAATGCGTAAACGGCATGGCTCATCCTGTAGAGCGCTCAATACGACCTGAAGGCGATAGAGCGATATCTAACTACAGACGGTATATATATATATATATATATATATATATATATATATATATATATATATATACATATATATATATATTTTTATATATATATATATATATATATATATATATATATATATATATATATATTATAAGTAGTTTATTGTTTATGAAATAAAGTACAAAACTAACGTTGTTACTCAGAGTTTCATGCCTGAGTTTACAGACAATCTTCGGACAAGTAGTTCTGTTAACTAAATTTGACGGTTTGGTTTTGTTTGCTTGCGCGTGCATGATTGCGCACGTTGCTCGATTGCACGCGAATGTATTTTCCCGCCAGAAATTGTTTTTGATGGACGCAATTCGAGAATATTTCACTTCCTTTATTGAGCAGCGAGTTCTTTTTAAATTTCATGATGAAAAGTTCTTTGTCGATACACAAATTGCACTGATTACGTCCCGATCTGTATGTACTCGAATGTTTTAAGATGGTCCATTTCATTTTGTATGGGCGATTGCTTTTCTTCAAACTCTTCCATATGTACGTCAACAATTCAGTGTCGTTAACATACGTAGCGATGTTGAACGATTTTTTGTGGTTCCTAAAACGCTCCTTGAAAGTTGTAGCCGTAATTCCAATATAAAGCTTTGTTTCTCCGTTGTCCTCTGCTGCGATCTTTGCATGGTAGACAATGCCTTTGGTTAAGCATTTCTTGTTGGAAGGACACGTTTTCTTATCTCTGCAGTTGCAGGTTTTGTCGGTGGGTAGCATAGGTGTTGGTGTTGGTTTTAATGGTGGTGTTGGCGTTAACGTTGATGATGGGGGAGTTGGTGATGGGGGAGTTGGTGATGGGGGGAGGTGGTAGTGGCGACGGCGCTTTTGAAAGTATCTTATTGTTATGGCTGGACATCACGGATTTCACGTTTTTCATGCAACTATAGCTCACTTTGATGGCATTCCTGTTGAAAATTTTGTTGAGGGCAGATGATTTAGGGAAGTGAATATCTACGAGGTGTAGAAAATCTTTACCAATGTTGGATCTCACGTTTTTACTGTACGGTGGATTGAACCATGTGATATTCCTTTTTCTGTTTCTTTTTGGTGTGTTACGGGTTTTATTGTTTTGATATATACATATGTATTCTTGATGACTAAATTTGCCGATTTCATTTTTCCTGGATTTATAATTCGGAATTTTGGGCTTTTCTCAAAGTTCTCCTTGTAATCTTTGACAGTAATGAATGCTTCACGTTTCGCCATGGTTTCAATACGATCACTAATATTAAGATCTGAAGCAATATTCATTAAGCTCGTAGTTAATGCCATCTATCCTATCGTCGCTGCCAAGTTTGTACAACAACGTGCGCAATCATGCAGGCGCAAGCAAACAAAACCAAACCGTCAAATTTAGTTAACAGAACTATAGTTGTCCGAATATTGTCTGTAACCTCTGGCATGAAACTCTGAGTAATAACTTTTGTTTTGTACTTTATTTCATAAATAATTAAATAAATTTAGCTGTATACAATAAAGTATTGAGCACTCTATATTATATCAAGAAAACTTGATTATATATATATATATATATATATATATATATATATATATATATATATATGAAAATGATCTCGAGTGTGTATTATATAATTTCCATACCCAGCGTAAGCAGAAAGATAAAGTCTGCCGCGGCTGGGTCCTGAACCCGCGACCTTTGAATTACTAGATCGACGCTCTACCAACTGAGCTACACGGTCAGACGGATTTAAGACTGGAAATAAAGAAATCCGTCTGACCGTGTAGCTCAGTTGGTAGGGCGTCGACCTAGTAATTCGAAGGTCGCGGGTTCAACACCCAGCCGCGGCAGACTTTATCTTTTTGCTTACGCTGTGTATGGAAATTATATAATACACACTCGAGAACATTTTCACCTTAACATATTACGGAGTGTACATATTACGGAGAGTTTGGAATCATATATGAGTAGAGTGCTCAATACCTTGTCCATATCCTCAATATATATATATATATATACATATATATATATATATATATATATATATATATATATATATATATATATATATATATATATATATATATATATATATATATATATATGAGGCCCATAAGGCCGAAACGGTACCGTCTGTAGTTAGATATCGCTCTATGGCCTTTAGGTCATATTGAGCGCTCTACAGGATGCGCCATGCCGCTTACGCATTGCGCACGCTCACTGCTTGCAGTTTGAGCGCTCTGGCATGGTTTTGATGTCCCACAATCGTGAGGTATCAAAGGTAACTATTAATAAGAGTTACTTTCATCCTGCTCATCAGCACTACACTGATGAGGCCCATTAGGCCGAGACGGTACCGTCTGTAGTTATATATATATATATATATATATATATATATATATATATATATATATATATATATATATATATATATATATATATATATATATATATATATATTAGGCTTAAGATCTTGACGTTTGATCAGAAAAGTCGTTAGGCAATGTGACGTCATCGTTTGCACATGAAAAAGTGTTAAAAACTTCAAGAACGAATCATGCTAAAGGCGCAAACACAACTATTGCGTACCGTACGTACTAGCCAACGTATGAAAAATATCACTCAAGTACGCTGGAATACGCTGACATACGCTTGCGGTACGTTATAGGCATAGGTTGCAAACGTTTCAAGCACGGTCGCATATGGTGGCATTCGTTGGCATATGGCACACTATTGCGTATTGTAATAGCGCATGCCAGCGTATGAAAAATATCACTCATACGCCGGTATACGGTCGCATGCGCTGGCATACGGCGAGGCCTGAATTTTTTTTTAAATTAAGCATGTTCAAAAATGTTGTGCGTATCGGACGTATGCTTTATACGATAAGCATACTCTAGGCACACGCTGAATACGCTACAGGTACGCCAGATGTACGGTACTCATACGCTGGCATTTTAAAGGAATTTTGTGCGTATGAAAATTATTGCATTAATTTTCATACATTTTTCATACGTTTCTCTCATACGCAATAGTGTGACAGGGCCTTAAGATAGTCTGGAAAACTTCATTCTTTCATGAATTTCTTTACAATTCAATCACCAAAATTATGCGAAATTCCGTTGCATAAGCACTACAAATGTATCTGTGCAAGTGTGGGGCCAGCAAAATATTTCGATCACCTGTGCGAAGGTATATGAACGTTATGTTAAAGTATTACATTGAATTAACCCTTTCCCTTCTCCCTACAGATTTACAAAACCGAGTGGGAAATGTGTTGGCTAATTCGTTGGCTACCTATATGGTCATTGATGTTTGAAGGTAAAGAGATTGTTAAAAGCAACCCAATTTTAGGAGAAAATTTATACCATCAATATAGTATATCAAGGCGTATATGCAGAGTATTCCAAGTGTTTACTGAAATGTTTATCTCCCGTATAATTTCAGATTGCCAAAGTCTTTTTCTCAGGCATACTCAGTCTGGACAGTGTATTACAAAAGGACGTCTCGTAACTAATACACCAAATTTGGCGCTACGTTTCTTTGCTGTAATGAGTGATAACTGCCTGGGTGTTGAATCACAGTTCCGTTATCTCAATAACAGCGAGCTGTTACAAAATATCGAGACAGGAGGAACGTTTCGGCCTACCTACCAAAAAGTATACAGAAGTCGTTTAACCTTGTTTTATGCTGTAGCAAACAAATCATTAAAATACCAAACCAGCCGTGTTAGTCACTTAAAACAGACGGCAGCTGGAGGTTTATCTTTTTACAACGCGAACGTATGTGCTCAAAAATTAAAAACGTTTCCTTATATGGGCAAGAGTTCATGTTGTAACAACGCTGAACAAAATTTTACTTTTGGTAAGTGCAGTATTTACTAGAAAAACATGCATGCAATAACCCCTCGCCTGTTTTCAAAAGATGTATATACTCAGTGCCGTTGCGAGTACTTTGTCTCATGGTGTGTGTGAGGTTAGATAGAGGGGGGGGGGGGGTATCAAAATTTTCTAGATGTAATAATACAATGCTACGTAATTTTCGGATGTTATGGACTAGCCCAAATTGGAATTTGGAACATACTCCAGCGCTCTAAATTGAATTAGAATGCAAACATGCCAATTCGCACATTTGTCTGCCAGAATACCATGCACCGACTATAGTGTGCGATCATATTTTTCCACAGACGATATGCTATCCCATTTCATTGAGGAACTAACACTCTATATTACAAGGTTTTTGTTCTCTTCGTTCGTGATAGCTGACATAATCATTATTTTCTATTTTTCCACTTGCACTCTTGAATGCGGTTTATTTGGTTTGGCTCGCTTATATTTGTATGATTCCATATTTTTACATAATCAATTCCGTTTAAAGGAGATACTAGAAATACCTGCATGCAAATTCCCCTCGCCTGTTTTCAAAAGATGTATACTCAGTGCCGTTGCGAACACTCGTCTCAGGGTGTGTGAGGCTAGATAGAAGGGGGGGGGGGCATGGTTACCAAAATGTTTCCAGATGTATAAAACATTTTCAGGACATATAATAATTTTTCCGAAAATACATTTGTTTTCCAAATTCACTTTCTCAAGTCCTGAGAATCACCTGAATTCCCTTGAAAGTACCTAAAAGTCCACCGGAAATCTACCTGAAATTCCTCATGAGCAATTATCAGGGATGTTGCACCAATGAGTTTCAAGCAAACACTCTCTGATTTATTGTTCATGTATTTCACCTCGCAAAATATTGTGCATCATACTCTAAAGCATTTTGCTGTTGTCATGCTCTAGCATGGTTCAAATTTATGAATTTTTATTATATAAAGTATAGAGTTTTATAGAGATTTCGAGCACTGATAAAAATGAAAATCTCACATGTAAAAATTATCGCTTTTCAATTATCCCTTTTCTGTAAAAAATGTCGCTTTTCAAAGACTGTCCTTTATATAATAAACAGAAAAATACATGGGTGCGCGGAAATACCAGATTTATTTCTTGTGTTGAACATGACATCTCACTCGTTCGCAGCGCTCACTTGTAAGGTATCATGTTGAACACTCGAAATAAATCTGGTATTTCCGGGCACCAATGTATTATTCTCTATTTAAACTACAACTTGACTGGTTTAAATTATTATCAAGTTATCAGGGATTGTAAAAGTTGCACATAGAAGTGTTTTGTTTTATATTATTATCAAATTATCAGTGATTGCAAAACCTCCAAATCCTTAATTTCAAATGCCCCGCGGGGGCTAAAGTTCGAATGGAAATGCCCAACCCCCGAGATGTGCTTTACAGGAAAATGGCTGGGCTAGGGGGATGGGCACACTTGAATTTGGATGATGCATGAAAAGTCATGGAAAAAGAAAAAAACTTTTCATATTGCTACTATAAAATGGCTTATTTGGCTTATTACTGTGCTTATTCCAGACTGCTTGTCAAATATTTACTTGCTAGATGTAGAAATTTACTCGGACCACTGGATGAAGAAGGCCGCATTAAATAAGTACTGGTCAATAAACAGAAATGTATTTTATTTCATAGTATTACAATTTTATTTTTGTACTATAACCAAAATATAAACATGCAGCATAGAATATGCAAATTCGAGGCAAAATTATTGTTGAATCGGTTTATTTATAGGATTTTATAACAAATAGCAACTACAAAAGTTTATACCTTGTATTCACATCGCTTTATTCTCTTAGCCAATGCTTTTAAATTTACATATTTTAGAATCAGTAATTCCTTTCCTGGTCACTGAATTTCAAAATGAAATCATCGTGAATAGTGAGTGCTGAGCAGGCCGTTTTACTATAAACTAATTTTAGGAATTTATAACAACTTTGAAAAATATATCATTGCACATTCGGTCACAGTCGGGAAAATGTTCATAGTATGTTGTACCGTCGTTGCACGATGAACACTCGCTCATAAAAATATTCGCGTGATTAGAATCTTCAATGTTTGTCAAGAACAACAACACTTAATTGTTGTTTCCCATGTGTACAATAATAAGTAACCAAACTTTGTGTGGTCAGAACGTATTGGGCTAGAGACCTACTGGAAACCTTTACAGGCTTTTTAATGAGAACAGAGAATGTTTTATCTGCAACTGTTCGCCCTTAGTTGCAACCGACGGTATTTAACAGCATAAAATTGCTTGGGGCTCTGATAACTGATAACTGATATAAATAAAATACGGTCTGGTTAATATACTGACTTGAGCGTGTCATGACAAACTTTTTATTGGAAAATTGTGAAGAAATAGTCGAACATAGAGGGTCGAATATCATACTTCAACTTGCATAGCTACAGTATTATTGGTACATAGCGTTGTGAAGACAAGCTTTTGCTTACCTTTCGCTTCAGCAGTCTTTTTTTCATGCTTCTCTACGCTTTCCTAGGCGAGCTTCTCTTTCCTCAGCAGTCTCCTCGAGCAAGCGTTGTCTTCTTCGCTCCCTCCTTTTCCCTAGACGCTAGGCTTTCTTGTCGTTTCCTTGCCGCTTTTCATTTGGCTCCATATCTTTTCAATTGGTATTTGATACCCTAATTATTTTATTAAACATTTTATAGAACAAATTGCTTTGGAAGCTGTCAAAGTTTTTCGCAAGCGTACAAAACACTGTAGTGCAAAAAGCAAATTATTTTCATGAAGTATCTGTCAGTTGAAGTCGTCATTTGTCATACAACAACACATTTTAAATTTGACCAATCAGTGTTCGCTATCCATGACAGTCCGCCATATTTTTGAGATCAGTGAGGATGACCACCCACTCAAGTTCGTTGCTCACGCCCACCATATTTGATGAATTTTAGACTTGGCTAATGCTTTCGTTTCCCCGGGTGTAAATAGCCGGGGGAATTAATACCGTCGCACGGCGCTTCGCGCCGTCGGCTCGGGGATTATACATTTCTTCAGCAGACATATGTCTTCGAGGAAACCTTTTCAGAAACGTGGATTGAGCATCACGAAATGATGTGCTATTATGATTTTTCATCATTACAGTAAAAACTCGCATACGAGAACCACTATTTTTATGACAAGCTGAGATGGTTTTTAACTATAGTGCATATTTCTAGTTAAAAATAAGTGTTCCTGGTTTAGTGCTTAAAGGGAAATATGTCGCAATGAAAGTTACGCTGTTTTCATTCGTTGGGAGATTCAGTATATGTAAAACATTACTACTGATTTCCTTTATAATTATTGGTATAAAAAATTAATACGCATGTCTCTATCTTGGATACGCATGCGTATAGTTGGATATACGTGACGTCAGATTGTTTTGTATCATGAGCAATTGTCGAGTCATTTCAATGCTAAATCCTGCATTTTTACTCCTGTTTACTTTAAAATAAAAGTGCAATCTATGTATAAACTTTGCACCCAGTTTCAAAACGCCTACCATGCTTGCGACGTCATTTAATTAGATTCAATTATTTGATCTGATTATAGAACAAGATGGCGGATGGCAAAAAGTTACTAAGATTAGAATGAATGAAATTAATTTGGGAGAATTTGCAACAGCAAATCTTAAATAAATTGAATAGTTCCAACATTGTTTCAAATTATAATTTTAGTTAACATTTTCCTTTAAAATATTTCTTTTCTTCATTATTAGTGAGCTTTTGATGGGTTCGCACTAATAATTGCTATTTAAAATTGTCCGATTTTGATACAGTAATCCTCGGTCTGTGCTAAACAACCGATCGTGATTTAATTTGCAACTAATTTCGAGCTCATGATTGCTTTGTCAAACAACTTTAATTAAAAAGCTCAATAAAAGTTGATTATGTCTTGAATACGAATTGGCCGTCTTGGTAGTACCCGACAGGAATAAGTACGAGAAGGATATATACAAGGGGCACAGAAACATCCTCGCCTTACTGCTCGGTGTTGCATGCGGCTTTCCCAGTACCCCACCCCCTCACATATACCACATAATATGGTATGGTTGGTCCCGGCTATGGTCCAATATCAGGTCAGATTCATGGAGTAGTGGAAAATCCAGGCGTGATTTCAATCACAACTTAGTGTGATGAGTCTCTGACGCAGCTCCAGTTCAAGTAGATGTAGAATTAGAACTTGGCGAAGGAGTGCGTGAGATTTAATTTTCCGCAGCTGGAGTGTCCGACAATCAGTACGCATTCTGGATACTAAGGGTATCGTATAGATTTCAGGTCCCTGCAACGTCCTTATATACATAACTTATACACGCGTCTTAACATTATTTGTTGTAACCAATTGTTTGATTTCCAGAATTACAACGTCCCACTGTGTGTTGATAATTTTTTGATCATTTGCATGTGCGAACTTGTCATTGAAGAAGTAACTGTGTGTCATATATTATTCGGCCACACTCTCCTCCGCAGAGTCTGAATTATATAGGATTTGTTGGGATAGTAGAGGATATTTAGTGGTGCGCGACGGGGGGGAGGGGGGTGAGATCGATGGTTGACAAAATGTAACGAAGACTCTGCCATATAATGCGCGGTTCTCGGGTATATTCTGCGGTTCTCAGGTATGGCTGAAATAAGGCAAGAAAACGTCTCGGAAAGCAGCGATGTGGACATTTTAAAAGTTTCCCTTCACACTTCAAGTATCGAGGGTAAGTTGAATGAATTTTATATAATATTTATGTCGCATTTGCCGGTATTGACGGCATGTTTTACATATCTGTATAGCGACAGTAAACGTCAAAGTATCATGGCTTTGTTATTGCTTTTATCTTTCCCAAAATCAACAAATAAAGTTTAAAATACCACATTTGGTACATTGCCAGTAAGAATTATATAAAAGCAGCAAGGATTCACAAAGGATGGCTTAAATATACGACGGATTGATATAAAAGATGTTTTGTAGTCGGCCCATAAAATGGCCGCCAGTATTGTGGTGTGACACTTACCCCTTAATATTTAGATTGAAGATTCTAAGCAGTGTATCCTATACTAAATACTTTGTATCTAGATGAAGATGATGGATGTTATCCAATGGCAAGTACGCCCCAAAAGGATGACAAGAAATTAATGAGTGTGCTCTGAATTATCCAAACGCCAAAGTGAACCTGGTTCAAAAAGGCTTCACATATCAATAGTTGACACAGGTTTGTTCTTAGTTATTAAATACTGAGTAGTATCTCTCAATGTACATATTTTTATAGTGATATATCGAATCTAGAAATAGTCTTAGACTAAATTAAATTTTGGAATTCAAGGCAGCATCTAGCACAAAGTTCAAAGTACTAATAAATTCATGTAGTTTCTCTTTCACACAATAACAGTACGACGAGAATTGGAGAATATATAATTATAAAATTATGGTTATTCAATGTTGTGTCAGTACACCGTTGGCCAGCAATCTTGCTGGATTCTCAAAAGAATCAATTGTGATTGGCTAAGAACTACAGACAATCTTCAATGTTTATCAATGATTTTTTAATGAGACACCTGACAATGGTTTTTTCCCTGCCATTATAATAACATCATAATTGCACAATGAAACAATTATTGAATTTGGGTTTCGCATGACATCAAGACCGGTCAATATTATCTGCCGAAGGTCTGGATAATTCTTGACATCATGCTCGTCCAAATATATGTAATTGTTGAATGTTTTTACAATTGTATCCCATTTTTGTTTTTGCGTCTTGCTCTCTCTATTTTACAAATAGAGCCTGACACAAACCTTGCTATCCACTCAAGTATATTTTTGTATAAAGTATCAAATCAAAATGTCCAGGGAGAAATGTCAATTTCATGTAAAAACAACAATCTAATTATTAAAGTTACAACTTGCTAAATATATAATATTAGTATCATATAATTAGGATTAAGCAATATTAACATGGTATTATATAACTAGGATTAACCAATCACAAAGATACATTAAATATGGTCTGATATACTTGTGCTAGAAATAGCCAGTCAGAGCTACATTCAATATTTTGCACCTATATAATATGTCAGTCCTGTTTTTTTTTAAATTTCTGTAGATATACCTAATTAATCAACTCAAACAGATGCCTTTGTTTTGGCAGCCAGTTGGGACCACAACAATGAACAATGATATATTTTCTGGATACAAGAGCTTCAATAGCATCAAATAGGCAATTCCAGCTTTTAGTTTATGCCTGCAGGGGATGATAGGAAGTAAGGTATAATAGTGCTGATTATGCTGAAAAATTTCAATAAAAACTACCGAAGCAACCAAAATATTTCAATATTTACAAGTAAAGCTATCACTCCATGTTTACACGGCCATCATTTTTATTTTTTCAGCATAATCGACAATGTGACACCTTACTTCCCATTGTCCACTGCACGCATAAACTAAAAGCTGGAATTGCATATTATCCTGCTCTAAACTTTCAATGTCCAAGTTCTAGTTTACAGCACCGTCCATTGAAATTCTTTCTCGAGTTGTACCTGTAAGCATTGTTGCACTTTCAACTGTTTCTCATCAACTTTTGGTAGCAACAGTAATGGCATCGTTGGAACAATTTATATCATTGCCAAATGACACTTTGTATTCTGTGTTATTAGTTCATACTAGATTGACACATCATTCATGGAATTATTCTGTAGAATAATTAAGATATTTGTATGTTACCATAGTCACTACTATAGGTTCACCTGGCAATTATAAATCTAATTAATTATTGTTTTTTGTTGTTTTAAAATTTCCAAAGTGAAAGTTTTGAACTCATTGGGTCGTTCCAGAGAAGATCCACACTCCCCTCACAAAGGAAATTTTTGCAGTGGAGACAAAATTGTTTCTGATAATAGGGGAGGGAGGGGAGTTAACTTCCAATTTCCTCTCTGGGGGTGGTATGGATGTTTTCTGGAATGACCCATTAGCTTTGCCATGATACAGTATAAAGTAGATCAAATAAACAGACAGACAGACATATAAAGTACAAGTGGCAGGGTTACCGCAACAGAAATTATACTCCCAATAACTGCGTGCCACCTTTGATAATATAAGCTACCAGAGTTCAGTGCATGTGGACATATTCACACAAACATTACAAACCTTGGGTGGTATAAATGGCCATTTATTATGCCACCAAGAAGGCAACAACCTTGCAACAACTAGGTTCATCCAAAAGTTGCAAATTATAAAAAGTACATACTGTTCCAAATCAAATACATATACACTGGGGACACAGCAATGAATACATACTAAAGTACATATACTTTGTATTTTTATTCAATCAAAAATAATAGATTTAATATTTACACACCGTCTCTAATAGCAGATTCGACAATTGTTTCACTACGTGCAGCGTTTTACCCAGAGTGCATATGCTGTCATTGAATTTCAAGGAGCGATGTTTATTTATATAAACTTTGAAACGTTTCTTCGGTCCAACATCGTCAAAAAACTTCCTCGTTGTTCTCAATGCACTTTGAGCAAACCAATTCACCGCAAACTTTAGGTTTGCATCCGGAAACGGCCTATTTGTCGCCATGAATAATTCATGAGTAACTCAATATTCTTATGTCTGTAATTGGACGCCATTTTGGAAATATTATGTGGCAGAGCCTTACGTAGCTTCCGTCTTCCCATCATACCTTGCGTAATTTGCCCCCCCCCCCTAATATTACGCAATTTTACTAAAAATTCGTAAGGCTCTGCGGAGGAGAGTGATTCGGCCATATGCTGCCCTTGCATGGCAGACGGAAAGCCAAGCAATAAAGCCAACGTTTCGAGAGACCCTCTGAAAAGGCCGAGTTTGGGACACCATCAATGGTATTTTGATTTTGTCTATATTGTGGTATCTGTACATACAAATACCTGTATAAGAGCAGAATAATAAGATGTTTTCATTTTATATTGCATTAAAAAGAATGAAGCTCACTTGGCCGCCATAGTTGAACTTTGAATTAGCTCATGACTGCTGCTATCAAAAGTCACATGTGCTTTCAACCACAATAGGTATTTTTACTGGAGTTTAAGATTCTAGAAAAGGGAGACTACAACTTTCATTGGTAAACAGAAGAGATGGGTATCTTTATTCACACATCGTACACCCCCCTCACCTACCTAATTTCTGTCCAGATTTCAGCACAGGAGGCCGAGGCTCGATTTTCCCGCGCCCGCCTGTGCCTTCCTTATAACGAGGGAAGGAAGGAAACATTGAGACCAAAATAGCCCAGACTTGGCATATGTCACACGAAACTATCCTCGATTTTTCGCCTTTAATGCATTTCTTTCACGATTAATCGATATCCCCTGCAAGAATGATACCGTATAACTCCCAAAACAACGATACTTTAATCAAAGAGCTTAAATTCGCTCTGAAATCCGTGAGGGAATAACAAAATTCGGCCAAAATATACTCGCGTGCCGGATTTGCTGGACAAAAAGCGGAATTCGTTGAACAACTCAAAACGGAAACGACAAGTTCGAAGTTTTGCTTGACACTGTGCAAAAACTTGAGAAGAGATTGGGACAAAAGATCAACAACCTCGAGAGCGAAATACATGAGACAAAAATAGAGTTATATAATGAGAAAATGATAAGGGAAAGAACGAAGCCATGAATAAATCATCTGTGAACGATCAGTCATCGGCTGTTAATAAACATCTCACGAAAGACAATGCCAGATTAAAAAAGAAAACGATTCACTTAAAGAGCAAATCAACAGCTATAAATGCGTTATGTCCGAATATGAATTATAAATAAAAATATATATATTAAATTAAAATGAATAATTAATAATAATAATAATAATAATAATTATTATTAATAATTATATTAATTTATATGAATTTAAAAGTTAAGGACTTGGAAAACGAAAAGAATAGTTTAGTTACGGTCATTAAAATTATTCAAAACGATCAAGAACAACAACAGGCTTCACGGAATGTTGTCAACAGCCGCAAAAAGACCACGGAGGGACGAAATACGTCAGCCCATAATCTTGTTGGTACAAAAAATGTCAAAGCAAAAGAATCCGTGCAACAAAAGAATCAGTATACTGCTTTAAGTATATCGGACGTAGACGATAGTGAATCAGACAGCAATAATGTGTCTGATAACCGTAGCGACGAATTACCGCGACACAAGTCCCAAAACAAGACCAACGACACGAAAGAAACCGACACTGTAAAAAAGATTCACAGAAAGTCAAAGAAGCAAATATACCTAAGAACACGAAGCACAACCGCCCTACTGTTGCCATTCTGGGTGAATCCATGTTAAAACACTTGAATCCAAGGAAAATTCAACACGGATTGGACCATAAAGTCACGATTAAAACTTTTCCTGGGGCCGGTGTAGACGAGATGATACATTACGTTAGACCAACAATTCAGAAAAAACCAAACCATGTTGTCTTACACGTAGGTACGAACGACCTTCAAACCAAATCACAAGTTACATATTAATAACGGCGATAAGCATACTCGGAGAAACAATTACTCAAGAAGGAAAGGGAACTGAACTTACACTCTCGGAAGTTATAACTAGAAATGATAATGCGAATCTTGCCGACAAGGTAAATGTTTTTAATAAGAAACTAGATGAACTATGTACTGAGCATAACTGGGGTCTTATTAAACATGATAATATAACTAAAATTCATCTCAATAATTATGGACTACATCTAAACCAAAGAGGGACATCTACCCTTGCAGGAAACGTAAAACCATTTTTAAAAAACCAAGTGTTTGATTGAAATCAAGTTACCGTCAATAATACATATCGTAATACAAATGCAAATTATGCCGACTATCCGAAAACAAGAGGTTTTAAAATTGCCCACTTAAACGTAAGAAGTTTAATCAAGCATATCGATGAATTAAAAATATACTTAACAGACAACAATTTGACATAATTAGCCTAAATGAAACAATGCTAGATCTGTCTGTTCCAAATCACGAGATAAAGTTAAATGGCTATGAAGTTATTAGAAAAGACAGAAACCGGCATGGAAATTCAATAAACATACGAAATTCAATAAACTACATAATAAGAGACGATCTATTTGACGAAAACCTTGAGACAATCACAATCGAAATCTCTAAACCAAAATCTAAACCCTTTTTAATAAATTGTTGGTATAGACCACCTGATACACCACTAGAATTGTTTAACAAGTATGAAGATTTAATTACTAAAATGGAATCCGAAAATAAAGAAGTTATTTTGATTGGGGACTTCAATTGCGATTGGTCTCGCCTAATTAATTAACAATGAAGCTAATGCCCAGACAAACAAACTTGCCGAACTTGCAGGAACTTTTCAATTTGAGCAATTGATTAATGAACCGACACGAATTACGTCCACAACGAAAACGTTAATAGACTTAGCATTCACGAATAAACCGGAATTAATAAATGGTTCAAGAATTATCCAAATCCATCTGGGAATTAGTGACCATAGTTTAATTTATATTCAAAAATAAATTTCTATTCTTCGTAATGACCTAAAAGTTATTAAAACAAGACAATTCAAGCATTACAGCGTGAACAACTTTAATTCAGATATTTTCATCTATTTACACAACGGAATATTTTGGGATACTATGCTTATAATGTGGAAAAAATGGAAAACAACATTTTTATCAATCGCCGATTTTCACGCTCCCGAGACTACCAAAAAGGTTAGAAGTGAGTATGCTCCATGGATCACAAATAATATTAGGGAAGTTATGAAACAAAGAGATTTTTTGAAAAAAACAGTTAAAACAGGATCGAAACAGTTTCATGATGCCTATAAGCGAACACGTAACGATCTAAACAAATTAATTAAAAATACAAAATCGACTTATTTTAGGAACACTTTGAATGGATGCGAAAACAATCCCAAAGAAATGTGAAAAACGATTAATAAACTTACAGGAAAAAGTCAAAAACAACTTTAATATCCGAAATCCAACATGACAATCAAAATGTGACAAAACCAGAGGAGATCGCAAATAGCTTAAACGCGCATTTCAATGAGGTAGCATCAAACCTAGCAAAAGACATTCCACCAAGTTCCAAGACGGCCGAGTCTTACTTAACCTCGTCCAACGCACGGTTTAATATTCAAAACGTCTCCTTAACAAAAGTATTTAAATTACTTTCGACGATAAAAACATCCAAGTCAGCAGGCCATGATAGAATATCCGGCAAACTTCTGAAAGATGCGGCTGAAGTTATAGCACCCACATTAATTTAACAGCCATATTTAATGCATCTATACATGGGGGTGTATTTCCTGATGACTTTAAAACTGCAATCATTTCACCCATTCATAAATCTGGAAGTAAAACAAATTGCGATAATTATCGCCCAATCTCTGTTCTATCATCAGTTTCTAAAATATTTGAGAAATTAATCACCGAACAGCTTGAAACGTATCTGGAATCTAACGGCATACTTACGGAACAGCAAGCAGGATTCAGAAAAAATAATTCCACACAAACCTCCCTACTTAACATTACAAACCAATGGTTAATTAATATGGACAAGGGTTGTTTGAACGGTGTTATTTTTCTGGATCTCAAAAAAGCCTTTGACTGCGTTGACCACCATATATTAACTAAGAAAATGCATATCCATGGAATAAGAGGACATACACTTGCATGGTTTCGATCTTATCTTACAAATAGGACTCAAATCTGCAAGGTCAACCAAGCAATGTCTGAGGCAAGGACTGTTAAATGTGGCATACCTCAAGGTTCAAATCTAGGCCCACTGCTGTTCTTGCTTTATATAAATGACCTACCAAATTGTCTGAGTCTGTCTTCAGCAAGCATGTTTGCTGATGACACAAACATTTCAACTCACGGTGATACTGGCAATGAAATACAAGAACGCTTAAACACAGACTTAGAAAATGTGCATCAATGGCTACTTGCAGACAAACTTACACTCAACAAACAAAAAACTGAATATATGATTATCGGCTCACGACAACGTATATCAAATAAAATAGGGGATCCAAAAATTGAACTCGGTGAGTCAGAAATTAAATGTGTTCGTAAATCAAAAAACTTTAGGAGTCATTATTGACGAGCGTCTTTCATGGGTCGACCAAATTCAAAATAATGTAACGAAAGTTTCAAAAGAAATAGGGATGATGCGAAGAATGAAACAGTTTGTTCCCAAATCAACATTATTGAAAATCTACAATGCCATTGTGTTGTCACACTTTGATTATTGTAGCTTGGTATGGGGCAACTGTTGTGAATATCTAATTGATAAACTTCGAAAATTACAAAATAGAGCAGCGAGAATTATCACTGGTAGCACATACGATGTAAGTTCTGAGAACGTTTTAAAAGAGTTAAACTGGCAACCACTTAAAAATCGATACAAAAACAATAAGACGAGCTTCTTGCATAAACTAAGAAATGACGCACTGCCATCGTCTTTAACAAACATGTTCAAAATTGCAAATAATGATAGGTATAACTTGCGAAGTAATGATAACAACTATACGCTTGAAAAGCCGGAAACAAACTTTATGAAAAAGAGCTTTAGTTACTCTGCTGCATCATTTTGGAACAGCTTGCCCACTGCAGCTAAAGAAAAAGGCATTGGCTTAAACAAATTTAAATGTATTCTTGACGGTACTTGATTTCAGTACTATACATATACTTGTTTGTAAATATTTTTATCTAAGCTTTAATATGTGTGTAATATTATATCTGAAAATTTTATTAGTGTGATGCATGTAAACGGCCCCTTGAAAAGCAGGTGTATTATTGAGCCCTGAAGGGTTACCGTTTTAAAATATGTTTAAATAATAAAAAAAAATACACTCAACCCTGATTGGACAACGAAAATCAACAAACATTTCAAATTTTCAGTAGTCAGTAATGTAATATAAATTTGAATCAAAACATTTAACAAATTTGTCGGGGGATAACCAGTGCAAATCTAATTATTTAAATTTAAGAAGTTTAGTCAGTAAATACGGACAGTAATTTACCCTATTTGACAAGATATTTCAGGGTAAATTATAGTTATATTTACAGTTATATTTACAGTAACACATATAATCGACTTGTAGTAGACTTTATAACGTTTGTGAATTGTTTTGATTCAAATAATCAAATTATTACAGTATTGTTCCAAGTACTATCCCCTCCCAGTGGAGAAAAATTTGAAATGTTTGTTGATTTTCGTTGTCCAATTAGGGTTGAGTGTATTTTGAGTTGTTCAACAACTTCCGCTTTTTGTCCAGCAAACCCGGCACGCGGATATATTTTGGCCGAATTTTGTTATTCCCTCACGGATTTCAGAGCGAATTTAAGCTCTTTGATTAAAGTATCGTTGTTTTGAGAGTTATACGGTGTCATTCTTGCAGGGGATATCGATTAATCGTGAAAGAAATGCATTAAAGGCGAAAAATCGAGGATAGTTTCGTGTGACATATGCCAAGTCTGGGCTATTTTGGTCTCAATGTTTCCTTCCTTCCCTCGTTATAAGGAAGGCGCAGGCGGGCGCGGGCAAATCGAGCCTGGGCCTCCTGTGATTTCAGATTTCACAACGAGAATCCTTCAGCACTTTTTTGGAGAGCCCTGTCTTGCCCCGTCCACTTCCTTTGCTACCTCACTGGACATGGACCATAGCCTGGACCATCGACGAGTCAGCAAATGGTACGATACTGACCAGGGTGTTCACGCACACAGATTTTGTTGGTTTTCTCCCAGCTCCACTACTAGGTACTGACAATGATTCCTGACCTGGAACATCGACGAGCATTGAAAGGGATTCCCTTACAAACCATCCCACTAAAAGCCCCATGCGTATTAGGAACAGTCACATTCACCATTTTGGCTGTTTTTCTCTCTGCTCCGCAATTTTGACCCGAACTGCACCATGGCCGGAACCATAGACGGATCACCAAATTGTATCATATCCACAGGATGCTATGGGTACCGTGCCTTTTTTTTTTGCTTTTGCTCCGCTCCACTACTCTGAACTGTCACTACGCAATGTACCACACACACCTGAGGGTTTCGGAACACTGTCACTGCCCATTATTTGTTCCCTCTCCTTCATGATTCTGACCTGTCACTGGACCATACCCGGACTATCGCCGGCTATCGAAAGGTACCTTCCCCCGTTATGTAGCATATGTGATGGGAGGGGGAATAAATTACTGGGAAAGCCGCAGGCGTCACAGAGGCGTAGCCGAAGGTCTTCCCATAATCGCCTCCTTCCCTAATATTAATATGCTACCAAAACGATTCCAAAATCACCGATTTATTGCTGGACGATGTCGGCAAACAGTGGCGGAGATTTTGGGTTGTTATAGTACTGAGTTAAATATTTTTTTTACATTTTATTCTTTGTTAGAAATTGAAGGCGATTATGCATGGCCATTCTGTCGTTATTTCCTGGTTATAAGCATTACATTAGCCTTTCTCACGATGATTAATATCCGCCATTTTTGAGTAGCATCTAATTCTCGTTAACCAATTCAGACAATTTAAAACAAAGTGGAAAGCGATTTTTCAAAATAAATTAACCATTTACAGTACTGCTCAGAAATAACCTAACACTGCGTTCGCGTTCCGAACGCGTTGCAAACGCGGTCGGAACGCTGTTGGAACGCGGTTGGAAGGCGGTCGGAACGCGGTTGGAAGGCGGTTGGAACGCGGTCGGAACGCGGTTGGAACGCGGTCGGAACGCGGTTGGAACGCGTTCCAGAGGAAACTTGGAAACGCGTTCCCCACTTTGGCTAAAAACAGCGTTCTCGCATCGTAAAATCCCGACACCGAATGAAGCATGAGCTACTATAGGTTTTGACAGTTGACAACTATGAACAATTTCCATAATTTTAGACAATACCGTTAAAGTCATTAAAATTCCTTCAAAACTGTTTTTATTTATTTTGATGCCCTTTAGAGTTTTGTGAAAAGTGCGAGCTTTTCCTACATGGTCATCAGAAACCTGATGGCGAATAGAGGAAATTAGCTAGATTGTGTTTTAGTTTGTCCCAAGTATTGACCACGCATGCACATACATGTACGTGATGTGTACATCATAGGTTATTTTGATTCGCGACGCGTTAGTGGAAAGCAAATGTAAAGACGCGGTTTAATGCTTTATAGTGTGAACGCAAAATGTGCAAGTGAGGCTGACTAATACTCGGAAAATCGCGATGATTACCGACGATGTTCGGTTTCGATACGAGTGTAACCGGAACGCATTCCGAAGATGCGTTCCGGTAACAGTGGAACGCGAATGGAACGCATTTAGGAACGCGTTCCGGACGCGTTCCTAACGTGTTTTCTGTTAGGTTATTTCTGAGCAGTACTGTACAAAGCAAGTTTCTCATCATTCGTTCAAAAATTATAAAAGGTCACTGTTATGTGGACTTATATCGCAGACTTCGGCTGAAAAGCCACCCAAAAATGGGAGCGTGAAAAAGCTTAATTAAGTATGTCATTTCGACTAGAACACAAGAATGAATATTTTGATGTGACAATCTGTTTTGTTAGCTTAAAGTGGTTCGGTTGTATTTTTGGTACTTAATTTAATTAATTACGTAAATTTCAGACTTGTTGTTTTCAATCTCCCTGTTCTTTTATGGGTGTTTTATACTGTACTTTCGTATCGAGAAAACTATCGAGGGAAAGATTGTGCACGTACGTATTGATTTTGTTTTTGGTTATGGTTTGGAAATCTCGAACAGTCTGTGCAAGCGTATAGCGACAAAGAACCGCATTCGCTCGAAACGTCGAAGTTCTGCCTGTATTTTCTGGTAGTTCTATCTCTCCCAATGAGCAGCAGTCTATATATTTAGAAGTTCCCTTTATATTTTTCGCAACGTTTGCCTGCAAATTACCAACCTGTAATAGACCTTAGTCATAAAGACGTCACAAGCTTCATGCCGAGGAATGCTGGTCTTAGTCGTTATTGCCCAGGAAAATTAAACAATTCAAAATTGCCACTATCGAAATTTTCCCGGACAATGACTGCTAAGACCAGCATCCCTCGAGGGCTTCAAACCTTGTGATGTCATTATCCGTAAGGTCTATCTATTTATAAGACCTATTGCGATTTGGATGGGTACGGTGATCACGAAAATGTAAATTTAACTGTTCGTGATAACAAGTCAGAAAACATTACTACCACTGATGAAGACGAGTTGGGGCCGGTTGTATAAAACTCTTAATCACTTTTTTAATCACTCTTTTGTAGTTAAACAGTGGTTAACTTTACACCCGTTTTCAAAATTACGCGACCTCCCTGAAAAATACTCCTACTTCAAATGTCAGTTTTATGTCACAAGAACTGCTAAAAATAGCAAACGTAAACAAACTGTCTAAAGACATTTTAAACCGTATTCAATACCAAAACTGAACAAAAATGAGTCAGATAACTTAGATATACAAACTAAAGCACAATACAAACCATCACAACATAAATATGTGCCGTGAATGACTTTTAAAGTTTGAAAAATAACAATTTATCCTGGAATATAGCTGTCAGTATAAAACACGCGCGCTAGACTATAACGGTGATATTATGATTTTGTCGTGCTTAAATTTTACAATAATTCTCACTAAAATATCTTGAAAATCATTGTAAGTCTGTTTATATGAAGCATACAAAGCATATACATCGACAGAACCGCAAAACTCAAAATTTGAACTTCGTGATCGAATGACATAAAACTGACATGTCAACTCTAGCATTTTCGTCTTTGGTCGCGTAATTTTGAAAACGGGTGTAATCACGTAGTTAAGGTTACAGAACACCTTTGAGTGTTGATTTTGCCTAAAATTTTTTTATTGGTTTCAATGAAAGCATTAGACTAGTTCTACTATCTGACCAAGTTTGAACGAAAAATGTTGAAAACTCGCACAGTTATTTAATAAAATACATTTCGCTGCAATACGAAAAACATTGAAAATGTAATATTCAAATTCAATTTTCTCCCGAAGAATTTTACGGTAATTAGTCACTCAAACGATTCAGAAATATATTGCAGTCGTCAAAGAAATTGCCATATTAGCGGAATGACGAAATAAACAAAAAATTCCGAACACAATTTTTTAGAACAACTATTTTACTGTATAAAAATAATATTTTCATATATATAACTTAAAACCAGCAGGAGCACCAACCTCGTACCCAGGATCTTTCTTTGGGAAACACCCTGGCTGCGGCTGGTCACGTGCCTCATCAAAAATTTAGCGCCCGAGGGGGTGTGGGGAAAGTATCAAATTACATCAACATGCTTCCAGTGGGATATTCGTTAAAAACATAAATTTTGCGAATTATTACGTTCAAAATACTTGCTAATTTTTGTTTATTTTCTTTGCTTTCAATTTACAAGAACATTCTTACTTACAGCCAAGTCAAAGAAACCAAGCAAATCGTTACTCGCAGTGCTCGAGTCTCGTGTTGTTTAAATATTCAATGCATGCTCTCTTCACACTCGAGCGCGGTTGTAACAAACGTTTATTACATTCGTCCTTTCTTGTAAATGTTGATACGCTTTGCACCGATTCACTTGTTACTACGCGCCTTGTTTATAAGATTTTTAAAAGAAACAGTATTGTCTAGGACTGGCCCAATATTAGCAAATGTAAACATTTGATAATAGCCGAACAGAGAAATGTCCATAAGCATAGAGGAAATTTCAGTCATTGATTTATCTGGATTTAGTTCATAATTCGTATTCGGTAATTATAGTAAGACTTTAGCCTTTTTCTTGGTCTCTATTAATCATTATATTGTGTTAACATACTATAATCTATATCACAAATTTACAGTGTCAGATGCGCACAGACCGTGATTGGCGTCATACGAATAGACATAAATTTTCGAGTTTTCTACTTCTACTAACATTTTTAAAGTTTTCATTGTGAATCACCTGTTTATCTCTAATTCATTAATCATTTGCTACTTATATTTATTTGATAGTGTCATATAGTGAATAATGCGTTTACACACAAGCAATTCTGGATATGATATAGACGATGCAAGCTGTCCATTAAAAAATAACGGTATTCTATTTCGCAAAGTCAAAGCAAAAATTTAAATCTCACTTGTATTATTAAGAATGCATATACAGGAAAAAAATAAAGCTTATTCATGTCAAAACGAAAGCTGTTTACAAAATTTATAAAGGTGGTGAACACTACTAAAGAGTGCTCATTGAAAGACATCTATAATATAGTGACATATAATTTGTCGTTTGACTTATCTTTGGTGTATGATTTTAATACCGTAGATTTTCAACAGACAGCTATACTTTGACATATACCATGATCGTTGGTTTCAGTAATGCCAAGGGCCAATTTTATAGTCTTTTGACGGGCTTTAAGTTTTTTTGATAAGGCCTTTATATAGATCAACAATATGGATACAGTTGGCGATATTTCGGAAATCAAAAGATCTCGCTATTTCGTTGCAATTCCACATCTCATTAATAAATAAATTCTTTTCGTTCGAGTATCAGGATAGACTTTAATACTAAATAAATAACAACCACACTGTTCGGTCTGGAGATATATATTTTCTTGTAGGTTTAATATTGCCACGCTGCACAAGCGGCAAGCCGCCGCAAGCGTGCTTTCTTTGGCAAGTCTATAATGAAATCTGATCCAACTTGCTTGAATTGTAACTCGACACCAGATTATAGAGTAGAACATCAAGATATAAATATTAATTTAAGAGTTCTCTTTACGATTTCTTGTTGCAAATTTACAGTAAATTTCATCACCCAAAGTTGCAATTTTAAAACGCTACAAACACGCTCCTTTCCCACCCCTCTCACAGTTACAATTAAATTTAACTCCCAGAATCTGGGAGGCACGTGACCAGCCGCAGCCAGGGTCTCTCCCAGATGACAGAAGGAGAGACCCTGGGAACGAGGTTGCAGGAGCACAACTCAAATGCGTAAAGGTACCGCGATTTAAGATTTTCCTGAATAATTCTTACATTATTTTATTACTTGTTAATTTTACAACTTTACCATATTTTACATGCACTGGAGAACATTTGGTAAAAATTTGATGAAAATCGGACTGATATTGAGCGCGCAGTAGCGATTTTCCGCAAAACGCCAAAAAGGGTGTCCTGTAACCTTAACTCGGTTCAATATAAAAAAGTGGTTAGCGTTAACTGTAGTTAAAACGTAGTTAAAGTTAACGATGCTTTAGGGTATCGTTAAGTTAACTTCCCAAACGTAGTTAAAAATGGCGTTTCTATAGGAGGGAACAAAATTTTTCAATAAAACAACAATGAAAAGTAATGCTTACCTGGGATTTTCTATCGCTGTCTTCCCTGTGAATGTTTTCTGACAATATAAATTCTTCGAACACTATCGCTTTGGTTTTTCGGCGAAAACAAAATATATTTTTGCACGGGAAGATTTCTCGAAGACGACGTGGGCCCCATTACACGAAGAAACATGATAGATAGTTGCCAAACAGTTATACTTTGGCTTAAGGTTACTGGACACCCTTTTTGGCGTCTTGCGAAAAATCGCTACTTTGCGTTCAAAATCAGTCCGATTTTCATCAAATTTTCACCAAATGTTAGCCAAAGCATGCAAAATATGATAAAATTTTAAATTGACAAACAATAAATAATGTAAGAATTATTCAGGAAAATCTTAAGTCGTGGTACCTTCACGCTTTTGAGTTATGTTCCTGCTGGTTTTAAGATGTGTGGATTGCTCCTTATTATTAAAATATCCAAAATTAGAACAAATCCGAACACAATTTTGAGACTGACGTCTTTACCTATGTCTTCTGAAAATTTGAAAACAATTCGTTAAAACCCGCAGGAGCACAACTCGTTTAAAAATCAGTAATTGCCGTAAAATTCTTCCGGAGAAAATTGAATTTGAACGTTACATTTTCAATGTTTTTCTTATTGCAGCAAAATGTATTTTATTAAATAACTCTGCGAGTTTTCAACAATTTTCGTCCAAACTTGGTCAGATAGTAGAACTAGTCCAATGCTTTCATGGAAACCAATAAAAAAAAATTAGGCAAAATTAACGCTCAAAGGTGTTCTGTAACCTTAACGTAAACATCTCAAGTAAAAATGGCCTTCTTCGTTGTGTTTTTCCTTGTTTTCTGGTTTTGTTTCACTCTTTTGAAAAAAATTCCCGCCTATTTGCAAAATGCTAGTCCACAATCATGTTAACAATACCTGTCGACGATCGTTATAATCGTTGCTTACTTTATGGTGATTTTGTGTTTAATTATAACGCCCCACGCATGCCCCGCGCAAGTTAACTACATGATTAGTTAATCATCCGACAAACTACGTTTTGTGCAACGCAATAGACCTTTATAAAAAGGTTGACGTCAGCAGGCTTGTGACGTAGTTTGCGGAGGAAATTCCGAAAGCTCAGCATTGTTTACTTGTTTTGAGTTTTTTTAAAGTCAAAAGAAACCAGTATTATGGTAAGTTTGAAGTCAATTTTTCTCTATATAGGCCAAATCAGTTTTCATATTCGTCGTAGTTTAAATTTTATCTGTATCCACATTAGATTGTACATTATTTTACTGTCAACATTTAGCAAATTGTTCGTTAGATTTGTTTACCGCATATTTTGTTGCTATAAAGTATATTTTTTCTTTTTTGTTTCTCAAATTTATTAGTCTAATCATCATGCAGCTAGCAGAATGGCCCTAATCAAGCTGTAGACAGCAATACACAGGCTTAGTGATCGTTTAAAGAGGTACATAAGTGAAGTTAAACTCTGTCTCTGAGTACATCTTGTACACAATGACTCGTAAGACTGCATGATAAATCTATTATTTTTGTCGATATAGTTGACAGAAAAGGGCATATCTCCGGGTCAAAATTGGCAAGTATATTGAAAAAGCTACCAAAAATAACTTAAAATTTCGACTGAAGTGTAGAGATTTAAAAATTAAATCTTCAGAAACGAATGCGGAGCTGTTTACAAATACTATGTCTACAGGGTTCCGTACTTCCGTATAAACTTTTACATAATTTTAAAACGTATAAAATTTGCTTCAGAACAGTTTTATAGTTGGGATATGCGATACATTTCCAAGCAATGTACATGTTCAAAATATCTGAAAGTATTCGGCTTAATTATCATGTTATAGAGTAAGACGAGATTATCTATAGTGCGAGCTGCGAGTTGCGAGTTGCGAGTTGCGAGCTTGCGAGTTGCGAGTTGCGAGTTACGAGTATATTGTTAATTTCTAATAACATCGGGTTTAATTTTAACCCAGGGTTAACACTAACCTAGCTTTGAAGCACCGAACCAAGTGTTTACACCTGTGGTTTACACTAAAAATTCAAATTGAAAACTGTATGGCATCCTGGCGGATGTGATTTTAGCTTTGTCTCAATTTGGCGCCAATTTTAAGCTTTTGAAATAAACATTCATTGCATTTATTTTTATACTTACAAACTTGTAAATAGCAATCGTTTTGATATACTGATGATTTTTTCCCGTGTTTAGATAAAGTTTATGTATGTATATGTATGTCTATATGTATAAATTGTATAAAATAAATTGTACTTCCGATGAAAAGGACTTGAGTTTTATAGGGTTCCCAGCGTTCAGTATATATAAACAAACTGAGTCGGTGTCTGGTCATACTTACTAATAAAATTAAATAACCATTTTAAGATTAGAAAGCACAAAATGGTCTGGATAACTACTAGATTTTATTAAACACAGAAACGGCAAATATAAACTTGCACTTTTATTTTCAATATAGTTATTTTAATTCTTGAACATACGTATCGATGGATCTAACAAAGTAAAAAAACAAGTAAAGGCCGATTTTTATCTCGTCCGTATCGTAGCATTTTCTTTTGTGTCGAAGTCTTACAGGGACCTTAACTTCGAAGGTCATTATATTTATGAAACAAAAAACCCTTCGACTTTGCCTTCCATGTCGTCCATATTAATATACTTTCAAAGCCTAATTCAAAGCGAGGCTAGCGACTCGCAACTCGCAACTCGCAACTCGCAGCTCGCAACTCGCAACTCGCAGCTCGCAACTCGCAGCTCGCAACTCGCAGCTCGCAAAATAGCCGACCCCGAGTAAGACAAAATCTTGATAGAAAATTAAATATTGTCGACCCAGACCCGAAAAGTGTTATACACGATTGATAAAAGCTAATTAAATCATAATTGTTATGTATATGTTCACTTCAACTATATACGGATAAAAGTAATAGACTTATGTCTAACTTCGCTTGTTTACCTCTTTAAACGATCACTAACCCTGTCAATTGCTGTCTACAGCTTGATTGGGGGCATGCTGATGATTGGACTGATGAATTTGAGAAACAAAAAAGAAAAATTATACTTTTTAGCAACGAAATATACAAACAAACCGAGCGAACAATTTGCTAAATGTTGACAATAAAATAATGTACAATCCAATATAAAAAACATGCAGATAAAATTTAAACTACGACGAATATTAAAACTCACTTGGGCAATATATAGAAAAATTTATTTTAAACTTACCATAATACTGGCTTTTTATGGCTTTTAAAAAACTCAAAAAAAAGTAAACAACTCTGAGCTTTCGGGATTTCCTCCGCACACTACGTCACAAGCCTGCTGACGTCAACCTTGTTATAAAGGTCTATTAAGTCGTGTAGTTAAAGTTCATATGACATGAAATTTTTTATTTTCTTAAATAAAAGAACTCTTTAAGATGTAGTGTAACTTATTTTTCAGTTTCTTGTTTTTATGATTTGTTCCCGAGATATTTCAATTTGTTTGATATGTAATTGAGTGCGAATATGTCCACTAATTTATGACGTCACGTTGGTTGCAGGCTCCCTAAAATGGTTGAATGTCTCTGTTATCATCCCGGATAATAATTTCGAGCTTCACTCACTGGTAAATGTGATGAAATACAGGACAAAAACGTAAACTGATATGTACAGTCCAGTAGAGTTAATAGATTTTTAATCAGTGTAAGTTGAGCTTGCAACCAACGTGATGTCATAAAATAGCGAACATATTCACACTCATTTACACATCAAACAAATTGAAATATCTCGGAAACAAACCATAAAAACAAGAAACTGAAAAATAAGTTACACCACAGCTTAAAGAGTTCTTTCATTCAAGAAAATAAAAAATGTCATGTTATATGCACTTTAACTAATCATAGTTAATGAAGTTAACTACGGTGATTAATGCTGATCATAGTTAAAGTTAACTACGTTTTTATACAACTAACCGGCCCCTGGGCTTACAGATAGAACTAACTTACCTCCGCCAGCTGATTAATTGGGTTTATTTTATATCATGAGGCGTATAAATTATATATACAACGGACTAACTGCGCTTCAGTTTTCTCTGCCTGGAGAAGCAAGACAAACTTTTGCTAATTTTTCATCTAATTTTTATTCGCATTGAAACACAATTCAATCGATTATTTTGTCCGTACGTGTAATAGAGCCATTAGCCTATATATATTTTCTGTTTAACATTTTTATTTGTCAGACAAACATACAGAAACACCGACACATGAACTAAAAAACAGGTTAAAACATCGCCTCCAGGCAGATTAGTAGTATTTTCCAGAAACCAAAGAGAAACAAAGCAATCCTAGCTACTTCATCAACTCTACTTTATAGGATCAGTGACAGCCTACAACACCAAAATGGAAGATGTTGGTTGTTCTCTTATACAACGTATGGCGGTCACTAGAGCTGATTATGGAGATTTTAATAAGATTGGCACGTTGGATGTCAATGCAAACACTGACATTTACTGCAGCGTGCTAACCAATTGTCAAGTGAAATCACTTTGTGATGGAAGAAGGTCTTGTGGACCTACCATTGACAAAAGATTACTACCGCGACAATATTGTCCTGATGTTTCAAAAGAAATCTATATAGAGTACACTTGTGTGGATAACTTTAGCTCAACCACTATAACTACAGGTATAAAAATACGAGTTGGAGTGCTTTATATGAGCATGATAAAACACGAACTGCAAGTGCTTATTTTAAATGACTTCGTTTAAAAAGACCTATATCTTATTAGTTTATTGCCGAGTTTTAAAGATTATGAAAATTAACTTGATTTTTATCACAAATAATAGCACCGACACGTAGGTTGTCTTTTCTTCTTTAATTAATGAGCTATCGGAATTTGCCTATCGGAAATATAATCTATATGATTGTTGATTGTTTCCGAACATTTAATTTTTAGATCTAGTATATAGAATTGTGTGAAACTGCATAACTGTACATGTGAAACGCTCAAAACTGTGAAGTGATCTTGAATACATTTCCCTGTTTACATATTTCAAGAGATTATTTTTTGCGTAATGAAACAGAGCAGCAGATGAGTAACTCATTTGAGTATTCAATATATCAAGGGTAAAATATATGTATTGTTAGTTACGAGTTTTATAGGTAATAAATTAATCATCAGCTTTGTTATTAGAATTTCGTTTTTATTCAGTTTGGTTTCTTTCAGGACCTAATATTAGATTATCAGATTCACCAAACAAAGGTTTCATCGAAATAAAGGATGGCTTAACATGGAGGAAAGTTGTTGAAGAAAATTGGGATAAAAATCGTCAGAAATTACTGTGCCAGCACTTACGACTTCACGAAACAGCCGAGAACAATATTAGTACCAGAAATATTGGTAGTGGACAATATATTGGAACCGGGGACTTGATATGTCATAACACACAACCAAATGAGACATCCTGTTGTATCCATCTTGAGCCTTCTACAACAATTTCACGTGTTATTTTGCCATACGCAACCTGTAAGTATGCTAGGTTACAAATACGCGCATCTAATGGCGCTGTTGCACCATACAATTTTTAATGAGACCTCCCTTTTAGCCAAGGATGATTTTGAACTTCGCTATGTTCTCGCATACCCGGATATGAATAGCCGAGCGAATTTTATATACCAGGGGATTACAACGTTAGCTAGAGTGAGAGCTTCAGAATTGTATACATGCAGCCTTTAATTAACCTCATTTGTGCTAATTTTTACACCAAACAAACGAACTATTTAATGTTAACTACCGCAAACCATCAGTTTAACAGTACGGACCATTGTTACGCATTCCCTTAAAACTCTATTAAAAGACTTGATACTTTTGACGTGATGAATTTTTAATACGTTTAAATTTTTAAACAAGTTTTAAAATCTGAAACTCCCATCAAAGGCAAAGTTCCAATGCTCTTTAACATTGAGGTATGCGAGGAGCGATATGTCTTCTCAACTCTATAAAGTACGTACAGAATATAACTTTATCTTTTGCTGAAGGTCAAATATGCGATAACCCATTACTAGAGGACGTTGCCACGTTTCCAGACTCTGTGTTTTCTGGCGGAAGTTCTAGTAATTATAAGGATGCAAGGTTTACTGCAAGCGGGTGGTGTGGTACAGGGTTTGGCACAAAATACCTCTTGCTTGATCTTCAAAAGGAATTTCACATAACACGGATTGTGGTAATGGGTAACAAGGAACAGACTAGGTGGAGTGAGTCGTATTCATTGAAATACAGTCATGACGAACGTTTGTTGAATGGCACTAGTGCGATACAGGTATGAAAAAGTTTAGTTATCACATACATATGCGCATTTAATCATATACTATAACATGTTAATTTACGCAATATAAATATTAAATATTATTATGCTTTTATATGGGAGATAACAGGCTGACATTAAAACGACGTCACTGCAAGTATCGTTTTTTGTCACTGAGTCGCTTTTTGTTCCGCTTTTTAAATAATTGTTTCATTGGGGCAATTATTGCTGCCGCAGCGAGTGAGCATTAAGCGAGCGAGCAAGGCAGCAGGCTAAAATCGTACAGCTACTCAAAATATCAATCTTGCTAGAGCCGCAAAGCATGTTGGTCGAAGACTTGAACGTTTGTTCATTTTATCCGTTGATGTTTATCTTGCGTCAGCTGCACGATTGCGTAATTGTCTTCGCGTGCGTTCACATTCTGCGCGGGCTCGTTCATTTGCAATTAAACTATAATACGCGCCTGACATTTTGCGGCAAACATAAATGCTGTCCTTTTCGCTCTTCGTATGCCAGCTTTCCAAAAAAAAGCCAATTCATTGTTCATTTTGCAAATGAACGAGCGCGCGCAGAATGTCAACGCACGCGAAGACAATCACGCAATCGTGCAGCTGACGCAAGATAAACATCAACGGATAAAATGAACAAACGTTCAAGTCTTCGAAAATGGTTTTCGTATACGAAACCGAAACGTCAGACAAAACTTATTTAATTTTGTAATAATTTAGAAGAACAATAAAACAATCACAATTATTATATATCGCCAAGACCAGGGGCTAAAGGGCAATCACAGGTGACGGATATTAACCCTATTTGTACCGGGGGTGCGCACAATGAGCGCACCCCTATAAATATTTATCCGTCATTCCTGAACAAATTATCCGATTTGCCTGTACTTTCATGACTTTTAATATTTTTCCTCTGCTGTCATGACTGCGAAAAATTTTTTCTGAAAATTCAAAGTTATCCGGACGTTTGGCGACATTTGTCAAAGAAGGTGTCGGGGCCGAAAATGGGTAATTGTGGGTTGGACAGTATTTTTGGGGTTCAATCACTTCCCAGGTCATAAATAACATAATATAATTAGAGAACATATAAATATGGATTATTACACATAATTTGCAAAGTATAATATCCATAATATATTATATATAATAGTAAAATATAGTACAACATATAATATAGCATACTATACAATACTTATAATTATACCGGGTGTCCCAAAAACAAGTACTCCTGTTTGATTCGTAATAACTTCTAAACAAGTAAAGCTTTTAAAGAGAAATAACTTGCATCAAACAGAGGAAGGATTAACTTAGATTTTGATATATTACAGTTGTATTTCACTTAAAATTCACGGAGATATTAATGTTTAAAATCGGGAGCATATTTCTCGATGTGTCTGAAACATGCAAAAAACGGCGTATCAAATATTAATCAAGATTTGCCCGACTGAAACATGCACTATTACCAGTAAATAAATGACACTTGACAAATTGTTTATTATGAAACAAAGTATTATTATATGTACAAAATACAAGCAAGATTTATTCGTCCGAAATTCGCGTGTGTTAATTCCTAGCACGAATACGTTTCCTTATTTCATGAGTCAGACCACTGCATCGCGAAGGATCGTCATCGATCGCTCGTAGTTCTGAATTAGGGCATGTTGTCACAATGGAGTTATGAAGCTCTTCTAACTTCTGCAACGTTCTGAAATCTTGTTAAGAACACCCAAACTCTTTTGCCTTTTCTTAATCTTGGCAAGTTCAGAGTAAACTGAGAATTATATGAAACACAATCAAACTATACAACTCCATAAGACATAACAATTAAGCAACTCCCCAGAGGCATGCAACATTTTTGGAACAAAACGTTGATACGCGGTGATGCGTATTTGCAAAAAGCAATATTACTTCTTTCAATAAAGAATAATATTCATCCTGCTCTAACCGAGAAATAATCAACTCAGTCTGTTTGAACCCATTAAAAACATAAAAAAATTATGCTATTTAAGAAAAATTTAAGCGCCTGCCTTCCACGGTCTTTCATGTACCTTTAAGTTTGTAAAGACCTATTAAATACTTGTCAATACTTGCATAATTTCGAAGTTCATATTTCAGGAAACAATGAGCTAAGACTTACATGTAAGATGTCTAAATCTACGCTATATCCCTTACAAACCCTAACGACAATTCGCTGAAATACAAGTTAGCCGGATATGTCATTAAGCAAACAAACGCTGGAATTAATATTTGATATGCCGATTTTAATTTTCGCTAATTTTAGACACATCCCAAAATATGCTCCCGATTTTGAACATTGATATCTCCGTGACTTTTTAAGTAAAATACAACTGGAATATATCAAAATCTAAGTTAGTCCTTCCTCTATTTAATGCAAGTTATTTCTCTTTAAAAGCTCTACTTGTTTAGAAGTTATCACGAATCAAACAGGAGTACTTTTTTTTGGGACACCCGGTATAATATAAAATACTTATTTATAATATTTTTATATATTCAAATACACATACAAATTTTTTTTTGTATCTTCAAGGTAATATAAGAAGTCTACCTAAAAATTTAACTCTGCTCAATGATATGATTTATACTCTGTCATCAAAACCAGATATTATTGCTATTACAGAAACCAAATTGAATGTGAACACCATACACAATATTGATATTCCAGGTTACAATTTTTATCATGTAGATTCAACAACTGCAGCAGGTGGAGCTGGTATTTATGTAAATTACATGTTAAAATGCATACATAGACCTGATATTAAAATTTCATCTGAACTTGTGGAGTCCTGTTGGATTGAAATTCAGGCTAAAAACAATATGGGCAAGAATACAATTATAGGCTGTATTTACAGACACCCAAAAAGTAATGTAAATCATTTTACGGATGAACTTGAAAAACTATTACATTATTTTAATCAATGTAAATATCAAGTAATCTTAACTGGTGATTTTAATATTGATTTTTTTTCAATATGTGACTCACCAACTTACAGAAAAATACTTGGACATGCTGTACGCTAACAATTTTATTCCACTCATCACCAAGCCTACAAGAATAACGGATCATTCTAAAACATTGATTGACCATATTTATACTAACATGCCTCTTAGTGAAGTCTTATCTGGTATAGCTGTTTGTGATATATCTGATCATTTGCCTGTGTTTTGCGTTGTGAATGTGCCTTGTCAAAAAAACAACAATAAACAACATTGCAGAAACTATAAACAATTTAACAAAGAAGCTTATTTGCATGATTTAATGCAGATCGACTGGAATGCTAAATTAAATGATTTAACAAACAATATAAATCAAACTACCAAATGTGTTATAAAAACTATTGAAGAAATTTCGAACTAATTTCGAAGAAAGCTTCTTTGAACAATTAGGCATGTCATTTATATACAATATGAACAGCAAAGGCCCCAATGTTGAACCCTGAGGGACTCCACATGTCATCTTTTGCTGTTCAGATTCAACATTATCAAACTTTACATATTGGTAGCGATTAGTTAAATAATCTCGAAACCAGAGCAATGGAATTCCTCGTATTCCATATCTATATAATTTGGATAGTAAAATTTCGTGATTTACAGTATCGAAAGCTTTAGAGAAGTCTAGAAATAGTCCACATGTTACTTCGTTCTTATCAATTGACTTTTTAAAATAATCTGTTGTTTCTAATATTGCTTGTTCTGTGGAATGCCCTTTTCTAAATCCAAATTGATAATCGTAAATTATGTTATGCTTTGTTAGAAAACTTTGCAATTGATTATATACTAAGCGCTCCAATATTTTTGCAAAGGGTGATAGGATCGATATAGGTCTATAGTTATTTGGATCCGTCACTGCTCCACTCTTAAAGATTGGCGTGATACTAGCTATTTTCAGGATATCTGGCACAATACCTGTCGATATAGATTGATTAAATATCACTGTAAAAACAGGTGATGAGATATTGGATGCTGTTTTAACTAAGATGTTTGGCACACTAGTAGAGCTTCGATTCCCATCCAATGAATTAAAAAGAGACTGCACCTCAGATTCAGATACTGGGTGCATAACAAAACTAGATACTGGAGAATTATCTATATACATGCATGGATCATCTAGGCAAGTCTCGATTGAATTCGCTAATTTAGGTCCAACATTGATAAAATGTGAATTAAATTGATTGACAATACATTTATTATCAGTATAAGTATGACTGTTTCTTCTGGGTCGGTTAGGAAATTGCTGACCTTTTGATTTACATTTTATTAAATTGCCAATAAGTTTCCATGTAGCTTTTAAATTGTTTTTGCATGTATTAAATTGAGCCGTATAGTAGTTCTTTTTACTCACAGATTTTATCGAGTAATGAATGATGAATTACATCATATTATACAGTATTGTAATATAAATAAAATTTCGATAAACTACAATAAGACTAACTACATGGTAATTACATCTACTAAGAAGAAAATACGTCCTATAACGATTAGCAATATTGAAGAAAAATTGTGTATAAAATATTTAGGTGTTTATATAGACAATAAATTAAACTGGAAGTATCAAATAAAACATGTTCAATCAAAAATTTAGGTATCTTAAAAAAACTTAGATATTACACCGATTTAAAGATACTTAAACAACTTTATTATACTCTAATATATCCTTATCTTAATTATGGCTTAATGAGTTGGGGTAATACATACACAACTGTTCTTAATAAATTGAGATCCTGTCAGAATACATGTATAAAAAGCATTTTCTTTGCTCATATGAGAGAAAATGCTATGCCATATTACAATATCTTAAATATTCTGAAGCTTGATAACATGTTTAACTCATTAACGCGCAAGCTGTTACAATGTTTCTACCCCCAAAGTGGACAAGCAAAATGGCGAATACATGATTGAATTCAAGAGCTTTCACCAAAATGGCAATATCTCAGAAACAGTTGCATGAAAAAATCTGGTCTTTTCAACCAAACAACATTGATATATGATTGACCAAATTTAGTTTAAATGAACTTGCATACCTATATATATCATTAGTTTTTTCAATGAGAATTTTTATTTGTAAAGCAGTGACATTTTGTTTTTCATGTCACTCATCACCTAAAGGGGCAATATCTCTATAAATTTATATAAAAACCAAAAAAAAAATTATTCACTAAATTAATACATATCTATTTTATAACCAATTTTCATCTATTGGGATATGAATTAGAAAATGATAAAAAATTATGAAATATACTCCTTTGCTTTTTTGGGCAAGATGTTTACAACATGAAATTTAGAACAGTAACTAAGTGTTCAAATTCAACAAAGTGTGCAAGCCAAAACACAGTGCTTGTACATCTTTCAAGTTTTTAATTACTTCAAATATATTTATAAGGACATATGGTACTAGAATCTATTTATTTTCAATATAAACCAAGGATGGGAAGGTGAGAAAATAGGAATTTTCCGAGGTGTTATTTACACAGACAATGACAGCCGACATTTCCAAAGGCAAATTGTGGTGACAAAACCAAAAGCTATTAACCTCTCTACTCAAAGCACTGAAAACACCATAAAAAGAAAAACATTTTAAACATACATCAGGTAAGACTTTTAGCTCAATTTTCTCATGTATTTGTTGGAAAAGCAACGGTTTTTAGCCGAAATTATTTTGTGCGCCAATGTAGGCTGCTATAAAATGTCAGCCACGCGTTCTCTTTTGAAGTCTGGCTCTGAAAAACACTCGTTTTTTTTTTAGTTTGAAATAAGCCTTCATAAGGACTATTGTGTAGAAATGTTATCTATATACTCACATGAAAAAGATAACCTAATATTCAGGTATTCCACATAGCTATAAAAAGGTGAAATAAGGACTTTCATCTTTGGTTGTTTGTCAGACGTGAGAAACCACAAAAGTGCCATTTTGTCGCGCGTGCTATTTTATAAAATAAACACCTCGATACCATAAACTTTTAGTTCAGACAATTACAAAGTTTTCCATAGACAGTATTAAAAATATTCTAGTGAAGCGATTTCATGATAAATAAGTGAGCCATGGGCCCAAAAGAACTGCTAAGGTTAGTTTTTGTTAGGACTTCAATTTCATGGCTTCCCGCAAAGGAAGCCATTTCAGAGAGAAGCGACATTTTACCAAACAACCGTCGCGACCTATTTTGATAACTTTTTCTTCTGATTCAATGTGTAGTTACTAGAAAATGATGTTTCATCAACATTATCTACTTTATCGATTTAAAGTTTTATAGGGGATATAAAAAACAGTAAAAAAGCATTTTGAAAGCTTTACAACTCAAGTGCGGACTTTTTGAGAATTCGCACACGGCAAGCAAGCGCGTTTATTCAATACACTTATTTTAAACCACAATATGTCTGAAACGAGTTGTCATTTTAAGACTAAATTGATGAAAATAGATATAACAGTGACTTTGGAATATCCTACTTATTTAGTGTAATTTAATACTCGAAGTATTCTTGCCAAAAAGGTCAAAAAAGGTCACATACGCACAATCTGGTGTCGTTTGAAACATACTTTAGCTAAAATAACAACTTGAACAAGAAGACCAACAATGGGGTCACGAAAACAGTCGATATTGTGCCCAAATTTGCACACACAGTTTGTCTAAAAAGATAACTTTAAACTAGATTCAACCAACATTAATGCGGTCGAATTTTGTGAGTGTTTGATCGCATATTTCTACTCAAAAATACCCTTTAAAAAATCGTTTCTGCTCACTTGTGTTCCGTGTTCATCTTTCTTGTGATTTCCGACTTCTATTTTTAATAAAGTTTGGAGAAATCCTCATCTTTTTGGCTGAAAATCTCGCGCAAGGTTCACAGAAAAATTTGGCCCAAAACGTCAATACATTCGCTTTCCTTTCATGCCAAATTTTCGTTGTATATCATCCGAAAACCTCTTCTTTTTTCGCTTTTAAAACTTGCTTTAAAATCCTTCTTTGCAACAATATCTCCATTATTCATTATTTTTGAAAAACTAAGGTTTTAAACTTGAAAAACTTTTCGAGTTTTTGGCCGATTTTCTTGCATGATACACCGTTGAAAAGCTCGAATTTCGCGTTCTATTTTCGTATCCGTTGCTAGGCAACCCGGTAAACACGTGCTCAAATATCATGCCCGCAAGTTGAGGTGTCATTTGAGGGCGTATGCGGGCGCATTGCCAGTTACCCACTTGCCAATCTCAGGGCGCATCCGGGCGCATTGCCAGTTAATGAGTTAATGATCAATCTAATATTCCTGTTGTTTTTAGTCAAACTATCCAACTTGCTTCCGCATGTCATTCGTACAACACTAGATTTGCTGGTAATCAAAATTTTAGTAGACCAAGAGCTCGACCTAATTATGGTGTTCATACATTCAATTTTGTCTCTTTGCAAATATGGCAAAGTATTGATACTGAAATTAAACTTGCAAGCTCAGTTACAAGTTTTCGGAAAAAATTAGTGAACTTTTTACTTTTTTCACAAAATTATAGATACCTCAAATTATCTATCTCGCTCCTAGTGAACTAATTTAACTAACTTACTGCAGTGGTCAACTCGAAAGCCTAGGCTACTTTGATCACTGTGCACAAATGTTACTTTCATAATAACCGTTAATAATGTAATCTATGGTATTTAGTTTTCTGTAATATTTTATGTATTTTGTGTATTTATGTATAAATGTGCGAATCCTAATAAAATCCTAAATCATAAAAACATTGCCTATTTGTGCGAGATTCTTAAGTTTTGCTGAAAGTTGCCACCCTACCTTGTCTTACTACCTACCTAACCTCTCTGCAGATAAAAAATGTCTTCTTGACACCGTCATAAATGGTCCCAGTCAAGAGATTCTCATCGGGAAGCGTTCACCTCGCAAGAAGAAAAAATCTGTGGAAAATCAAGATAAGTTAGATGCCATTCTTGCATCCCTAACTGAATTAAAGTCGGATATTACAGCTTATAACTCGAGAATCTCAGACATGGAAGCCAAAATTGCACTTTATGAAGCTGCCTTTAGTCCCCTAAACCAGTTTACCGATCACAAGGAAAACGGTATTGACGACCAACTGTCAGTTGTGGTGAGAAACAATCTTTGTTCTCCGGATGATATAAACGGGTAAACACAATCCTTTAATCTGGCTATTAAGACACCAAATATGCCTACTAAGCTGATAGAGAATTCCTCACCACAAATATCGCTGTTAAACGAGCGAGTTGCATTCGAACAACTGGGTGCGGTGCTGTTTGACCCAGAAATACAAGCTAATTTGCGGTCGCCTTCACAGGAATTTCATAGTTTCCTTAAAACAGTTTAGTAGAAAAATATGAGAATATTTTGCCCTTGTTTTGGTGAATTAAGGTTCTGGAAAACGTCAATATTGCCCCCCCCCCCTGTGTCCTACCCTCGCTCCGGAGTCCCTAATGATAAATAAATGGCAAGAATTTCTTCAGACAGCATATCCAAAGGAAACGTCCCAGACTGGTTTGACAAACTTCAATCAGTTGTTCAAAACCAACAAGAATCAGAAAATCTGAATGCTGATGAACAGCCTGAATATATTCATGAAGAGTGGATGATCATATATCTGATTTACATGCACCTTCCCTGATTTGTGGCAAACAAATGTAGAAATTGGTTATGAATGGAACAGTGATAGAGCTAATTATTCCGAGCAACAAATTGGTGAAATGCCAGTGTGGATAAAAAATATGAGCAGGTAGAGTGATCAAGTCTTACATGAAAACATAGACGTTGATACATTCAGTGAAATGCAAGAACTCACATACAACATTGTCAGGTCTCACCTTAATGACATATCTTCAAATAGAACCCCTGCTTGTACTCATTATTAATGGAGTAGCAGGTAGTGGTAAGAGCTAGCTTATAAATGCTATCCATACACTACTAAGTACCAAATGTGCAGTCACAGCAACAACTGGTAAAGCTGCCTTTAATATAAATGGAGGGGGGCATTGGGGGGTGCATCGAACCGCAATACCGCACAAAAAATCATCAAAAACCAAAATACCGTGTTGTAAATCAACAGAATACCGAAACGTCCGAAACCGCATCTCGAAAAGTTAGCTCGTGATAATTTAACTGTAGCTAAATATAGATTGAAGTAGTAATTTAAAGAGGCCAACTACGATTTAACCCTCTGACAATATTGGTCAATACTTCCATCGGAATAAAGTACAATTTATTGTGTTCAGCTGGTTCAACTACCGCTGGAACACTGGCTTGACAGCATATCTCAAATTTAATATAATGACTCGTACATGTTTACATGCAATATATAAAGAGAAATGTATTCACGGCATACACACTTAATTATAAATGAAACGAATTACCTTTTTATTTCTTCAGTTTAACAACCGATTGTTAAAACGCGTAGCCCTTCCAAAACGAGATCGTGCACCAATTAGGAAAGTTAGAGAATTCCCAATTTCTCCTTGCCCTTGTGACACTGGCTCAGTTTCACCTGTAGATTCTTCCTCATCACTGCTGGTGTCAAATTCATCCATAAATTCGTCTTGTGATTCTTGATCCGCTGACTCCACTGGTTCAGCCAAATCGTCTTCCGCGTCTTGTTCTGCGACTTCTACCCTACATTCTCCTGATTCTATCGTAACCGGTGTGTCTAATGTGACACATTTCCTTTGATACATGAATTCGGGTAGAGTGCCATGCTTCGCCATTGTTGTCTCTTGACGTACTGTGCGTTGTCTAACAGCTGCTCCATAGGAGGAAGCCCAATTTCGTAAAACATCGCAGTTGGCTTGGGACATTTTAACGATAGGCAAGGGCTGCATAGTGGGCACTTTTGAAAAGGGAATGGTCTCTTCTGGTTTAGGATACCACGACTTCCTGCTAGTATGATAGTATGCTGCCCACTGCGTTACTCTCTTGATAGATTCTTTCATAGTTAGTCCAAACGAGCGGCTGTACTCCATCATGGACATGTTAGCCTGTTTAATGTGAACGGTTGAATGGCAATTCTCCACGTCCAATGTCATGCAACTTAACAGGTTAGTAACTTGGTAATCATGTTCCTTCAAGTTGTCGAATAGTCTCTGAAGACCGCACTCGATCAGGTTAACCGATGCTACAGTCTTGGCTGATACATGTCCTTGAGGTCCATTTAGCGTTCCTGTGATCCTGTTGTATTCCTAATGTCCGCAGTATTTTCATCTAACATGTGTTTGCACTCGTGGACCAGTGTAATAGCTTCTACAGACGACTTGACAGTGTAAGGCGACCCTTTGCTATGCACAGAAAATGCATCATATAAGGAACCAATGGCATTTAGAAAATCAGCACACTCAGTAACCTTACTGCACAGCTTGATGGAGTTGGTCTGAGCATCACAAAGATATACCACACTGTCAAATTCAGTGCATATTCAAATTGGTTGCTTCAAACGACAATTCTTGACTAATCCATCGATACTGCCTTCTTCGTTGTCAGAGCCAGCAAACACATCTAACTCTCCACTCGCTTTGAGATGCCACACTGACGATTTCTTCTCATTTGTAAATAATACGTCTGAGCCAAACTTTGTTAGCACGCACGGTTGATTTAGGAGCCGAACAAGCAACCTGCATTCACCATTATCTGCGTTAATTTGGACGATTCCTTGGCAATGATAAATAAATATGCTTCTGTCGCAAAGACACATGCTGTTGATCCTAAGCCAGTCAGGTTTGTACTGAACAATCACTTGTTCATTAACACCTTTTAGGCCAACACCGTCTTTTTTGACTTGAAAGGAAACTATAGCTTTTTGAGTATTGTCAGCAGCATATAGCAGTTCACTTGTAACGCATAGCATAGCCTCAAAGGAGGGTTGGCTGTCACGATCCCAGAAGTGAATTGCGCCAGTAGTGACATGGTTCTCGGAATATTTACCCATCAGTGTTCGGATGTACGTTAACAATCTAGCCCTGATCTCTGCGACAGTTCCAGTAGATCGTACATGGAGTTTCTCCGCCTGTTCGATGACGTCTTTTTTCTTCCTAAGTTTGGAGGTGATGGTCTTGATGGAAATCGATCCTTCTATGAATTCTATAGCTTTGATAGGACCACTGTGTGACACAAGAAAGATGATCCTGTCAGAGCAATGAATCTCTTTAGCCTTGAGATTTCTAGCAATAGGAGAGATCTTGTCGACAGGGCTGTGAAGGCGGGCCTTGAACAGAGTGGACATGGAACTCTTCACGTCGTACGACAAGAAGGCAATCCAACCATATGAAGGAATAGCAATACTTATAGGCGATGGATACATACCAAGTTGATTATCCGATGAGTACTTGTCTAACTCGGGTATAATTGTGTGGCAGACATAACTAGCATTTCTTAGCTCATCAGTAAACTTTTTTGTTGGTCAAGGTAAGCACAGCGGATGGGTCTTGTCGATCTTTATTCTTTACGTGGTCATTCTTCGGAATGAGCTTTCTGAATTTATCTCTCGTGGCTTTGTCCGAACGATTTCTTAATGTTCTAATCGCAGCCAGGTTTATTCGCTCATTTCTACATTTCAGCCACCAATTGGAAAAGGCTGCTTTCATACTTTTTCCAACATGTGGACAATCTGGCAAAATAGACAAAAACGCCAATTCAGGGTCTTCATTACCTGCGTCAAGTTTGGCCTTTATAATTTCAAAGGCTGTTTTGTTGCCTGATTCACAATCGCTACAAACGATCATCACAACCCGACGAACACAAACAGAATTGTTGTCATGGCAAGAGTCACAAAATCGCAAGGATGGAACATGACTGACTTGTCCTTGTAAACTGCATTCCTCACACACCGTCTTTGATTGGTAGCAAACGTCACAAAAACTACAGCAGTTGATTGCTTGAGAAGTAATAATATGACGCTGATGTGGTGCTCGCTTCTGGCATGATTCGCATAATTGCAGAGTTTTAATGTGCTCTTCAAACATGCTTGTCATAGTCTCTCCAGTTTTTCCACTTTGTGTAACATAGTCTACTGCCATAGGAAGAGAGCAGAAGTTATCTAAAGAGGTTAACGACGAGACAATTGCCTCTGTCACAATATTCTCTTTCAGACGGTCGGGAGAAGGTGATGGATTTGCTTTCAGATAATTGATGTCAACGGGTATTTTTAGCCCAACGTTCTCTTTAAGCCGAGAATCGAATTCAATTGCAGGTTTTAGAGCAGTTCCATCATTACCCAGAGCGCAAGGAAACGTGATAAGTTCCGGGATTTTTATTAGGGATTTAGCCTGAGAGTTCTTTAAGAGTTCGATATGTCCTAAAGATAATGGCTTGATGACACCGGACTCTGGGGTGTACCCGGCTTGATATTTCGCACAGACCGTTTCCGAAGGTCCTCCAAGGTTCATCTTTTTGTCCATCAGCTTGCATGTGACTGTTTTGACCATTGCCCATGTTCATCGGACCTCTAATAAAACATGCAGTACGTTTTTCACCAAGACAAGTAATAGTGTTTAAGAACTCCACTACTTCTCGATCGTATTCATGAAACGGATTGTACATGATTTCCACCACGTCACTCATATATTTGTAGAATATTTTATCCTTTGATATTTTTCCTCTTCGAAGATCCTGAATTTTGATGCACAGTGGATCAGCCTCTTCTATTCCTACATGCACAGTGAATAAATCGTCACGGTCAATGCTACATGTATCCATGTCACCAGACTGAGGCTTTTCATGCACGAGGACCACGAACAGACTTCTACATCTTCCATTGTATCTGAACTATACTCGTCAGACTGTTCTTCAGAAACCGAACTATCACGTTCCTCATTGTCCTCATTGTAGGAATCATATTCCATCTCGTTTTCGTTTGAGTCATACGTCCGAGGTGAAAACAGATTTCCGTGCTCTAGTGTTGTCTACAGATACTGTACGTAATTAAGGGACTCTTTCCATTTAATGGCTAGACCAGTTAGACCAGAATTTCTGTCTCTCGAAAATGTGGCGAAAATGGGCCTCCTTCTAATTTAATCCAAATTTTTCGGTCAGAAAGGTTCGAAGCCAAAATGTTTTGTGTTCCATAGTTTACTTGCAATAGTTCTTAGTAAACAACTATACAATATAAAGCATGTATTGGAATATCACCATTCAGGCATTCATTCAATGTACAATATGACAGCATAAAGCTACTGTACATGTAATCATGTATCAATAATTTCCAACTTACGTCTATCAAAACTAGAAATTCTTCCCTTATGACCAGCGTCATAACGCAGCTTCAGATTTTTGTTACAAATTCCACAACAAATTTTCCATGGCCACTCTACCAATTTTCCATTCTCCTTAACCACTTTATGTGTGTTGCACCTGAACAGTTTGCTGCTTTGCCTTTTTCACAGTTCTAGGTAAATAAAAAAATAAATAGTTTATCCCAAACTAAGTCAACAGATTCATGCTAGATCATGCTGTGTTAGAAGTTGGCATTTTCCAAGTTCACTTATGTATTCACAAAATGCCATGATTAAATGCGGTATATCAGATCTAACCCAGCTCGCCTCTAACAATTGCATGGCTCAATTAAAAGAGGAGTTATTTTGTTATTTTTTAAATTGTGATTATATACAGTATAAAGTATTGTTTGTCTGAGATTGACAACCTCTCTTCGAGTGTTATGGTAACTGTTTGTGTTGTTATAAAATAAGTTGAGATATCTGTACAGCAGGAGTTTTAGGATATATTATTTGAGACCGATTTGCCTTATCAAAATGATCCAAAATGTATAATAAAAAATAAATAATTTTCAATGAGAATGTAATCATAACCGTCTCATCCAGATATTCACATGGTACACATGTGAACTAAGCAATTCTAAGCAGTCGCACATTAATCCACATACATGCGCTGTACCTTCATTGAGTTTTGCCTCATCCTCATCATTTAAATCATGTGATGCTGATGAATGGGCTGAAGAGGTAGAAGGAAGGATCTTGCTGGGGGTGTCTGCCTTGTCTTTAATGATAATTTTGGGGTGAAAACAGTTCTTAGTGGATAAATTACAACTGAAAGAAAAAAATTATTATAAGTACTGTAATATCATGACATCTCAATAAATTTGTGATCAAATCTCGCAGCAAGTTAAGGGAGGTTTGTGGATGTCACAAGGGCACAGCCTGAAGGCAAGCCAAAGAGACTTCCACAAACCTGCTGAAGCTAACAAGAATATTTAATCACAAATTTCTATATGATATACATAGTATTTTCATTGTAAATAACCTGTTTTGGGAATAAGAGCATTCTTTCTTTATATCCATGCATTTTAATGAGGGATATATAGAATAGTGACATTTCCCGGGATACAATATGATCATATTATTTTTTGAAAGAGGGGAAAGAATACTTGTTTTACCCATGAACCTCATCTACTGTATGGTTTGGGATGAAAAACAAAACAATTTAACTTGGTTTATAAACAGGTTGTTTTGAGTGCATATAAGATCCCATACTGTCGATACTGAATACTAGAAATATTCAGGCCATTACTCATGACAAGAAATACAATTTAGCCCTGATCTCTGCGACAGTTCCAGTAGATCGTACATGGAGTTTCTCCGCCTGTTCGATGACGTCTTTTTTCTTCCTAAGTTTGGAGGTGATGGTCTTGATGGAAATCGATCCTTCTATGAATTCTATAGCTTTGATAGGACCACTGTGTGACACAAGAAAGATGATCCCGTCAGAGCAATGAATCTCTTTAGCCTTGAGATTTCTAGCAATAGGAGAGATCTTGTCGACAGGGCTGTGAAGGCGGGCCTTGAACAGAGTGGACATGGAACTCTTCACGTCGTACGACAAGAAGGCGATCCAACCATACGAAGGAATAGCAATACTTATAGGCGATGGATACATACCAAGTTGATTATCCGATGAGTACTTGTCTAACTCGGGTATAATTGTGTGGCAGACATAACTAGCATTTCTTAGCTCATCAGTAAACTTTTTGTTGGTCAAGGTAAGCGCAGCGGATGGGTCTTGTCAATCTTTATTCTTTACGTGGTCATTCTTCGGAATGAGCTTTCTGAATTTATCTCTCGTGGCTTTGTCCGAACGATTTCTTAATGTTCTAATCGCAGCCAGGTTTATTCGCTCATTTCTACATTTCAGCCACCAATTGGAAAATGCTGCTTTCATACTTTTTCCAACATGGGGACAATCTGGCAAAATAGACAAAAACGCCAATTCAGGGTCTTCATTACCTGCGTCAAGTTTGGCCTTTATAATTTCAAAGGCTGTTTTGTTGCCTGATTCACAATCGCTACAAACGATCATCACAACCCGACGAACACAAACAGAATTGTTGTCATGGCAAGAGTCACAAAATCTCAAGGATGGAACATGGCTGACTTGTCCTTGTAAACTGCATTCCTCACACACCGTCTTTGATTGGTAGCAAACGTCACAAAAACTAGAGCAGTTGATTGCTTGAGAAGTAATAATATGACGCTGATGTGGTGTTCGCTTCTGGCATGATTCGCATAATTGCAGAGTTTTAATGTGCTCTTCAAACATGCGTGTCATAGTCTCTCCAGTTTTTCCACTTTGTGTAACATAGTCCACTGCCACAGGAAGAGAGCAGAAGTTATCTAAAGAGGTTAACGACGAGACAATTGCCTCTGTCACAATATTCTTTTTCAGATGGTCGGGAGAAGGTGATGGATTTGCTTTCAGATAATTGATGTCGACGGGTATTTTTAGCCCAACGTTCTCTTTAAGCCGAGAATCGAATTCAATTGCAGGTTTTAGAGCAGTTCCATCATTACCCAGAGCGCAAGGAAATGTGATAAGTTCCGGGATTTGTATTAGGGATTTAGCCTGAGAGTTCTTTAAGAGTTCGATATGTCCTAAAGATAATGGCTTGATGACACCTGACTCTGGGGTGTACCCGGCTTGATATTTCGCACAGACCGTTTCCAAAGGTCCTCCAAGGTTCATCTTTTTGTCCATCACCTGCATGTGACTGTTTCGACCATCGCCCATGTTCATCGGACCTCTAATAAAACATGCAGTACGTTTTCCACCAAGATAAGTAATAGTGTTTAAGAACTCCACTACTTCTCGATCGTATTCATGAAACAGATTGTACATGATTTCCACCACGTCACTCATATATTTGTAGAATATTTTATCCTTTGATATTTTTCCTCTTCGAAGAAGATCCTGAATTTTGATGCACAGTGGATCAGCCTCTTCTATTCCTACATGCACAGTGAATAAATCGTCACGGTCAATGCTACATGCATCCATGTCACAAGACTGAGGCTTTTCCATGCACGAGGGCTGCGAACAGACTTCTACATCTTCCATTGTATCTGAACTATACTCGTCAGACTGTTCTTCAGAAACCGAGCTATCACGTTCCTCATTGTCCTCATTGTTGGAATCATATTCCATCTCGCTTTCGTTTGAGTCATACGTCCTAGGTGAAAACAGATTTCCGTGCTCTAGTGTTGTCTACAGATACTGTACGTAATTAAGGGACGCTTTCCATTTAATGGCTAGACTGGTTAGACCATAATATCTCTCTCGAAAATTTGGCGAAAATGGGCCTCCTTCTAATTTAATCCAAATTTTCCGGTCAGAAAGGTTCGAAGCCCAAATGTTTTGTGTTCCATTCAATAATTTGACCGTTCTGACTGAGTTAATGGAAAGCGCCCAAGGTCATTTGGTATCAATTCGTGCAAAATTAAGTAACTATACAAGCTCAATAAGAAACTATTATTCAGTTATTTCAATGTCAACATGCACATGCCATTCAATAATACAAATTAAAAGAATACTTAATTTTGATTACTAGAAGTTTTGTAATAATTTAATAGTCTAATGACATCTAATTAGATTAATTACTTTTCACAATCAGAGATGTCAATGTCAGAGTCCACTTCTTCTGTCCGCTTCTGCCTTTTTGAGGTCTCTTCCTCTTGTGTCTTCCGCTTTGCTGCACGTTCAAAAATATCTTTGATGGTCAGCGTGCTCCTTTCTTTATCCTTTCCTAATTCCTTTGATTTACTACACTTAGAGTAGTGATCTAAGAAGATAAATTTAGAAAATACTACATTAAAATATGCACTTGCAATAGTTCTTAGTAAACAACTGTACAATATAAAGCATGTATTGGAATATCACCATTCAGGCATTCATTCAATGTACAATATGACAGCATAAAGCTACTGTACATGTAATCATGTGTCAATAATTTCCAACTTACGTCTATCAAAACTAGAAATTCTTCCCTTATGACCAGCGTCATAACGCAGCTTCAGATTTTTGTTACAAATTCCACAACAAATTTTCCATGGCCACTCTACCAATTTTCCATTCTCCTTAACCAGTTTATGTGTGTTGCACCTGAACAGTTTGCTGCTTTGCCTTTTTGACAGTTCTAGGTAAATAAAAAATAAATAGTTTATCTCAAACTAAGTCAACAGATTCATGCTAGATCATGCTGTGTTAGAAGTTGGCATTTTCCAAGTTCACTTATGTATTCACAAAATGCCATGATTAAATGCAGTATATCAGATCTAGCCCAGCTCGCCTCTAACAATTGCATGGCTCAATTAAAAGAGGAGTTATTTTGTTATTTTTTAAATTGTGATTATATACAGTATAAAGTATTGTTTGTCTGAGATTGACAACCTCTCTTCGAGTGTTACGGTAACTGTTTGTGTTGTTATAAAATAAGTTGAGATATCTGTACAGTAGGAGTTTTAGGATATATTATTTGAGACCGATTTGCCTTATCAAAATGATCCAAAATGTATAATAAAAAAGAAATAATTTTCAATGAGAATGTAATCATAACCGTCTCATCCAGATATTCACATGGTACACATGTGAACTAAGCAATTCTAAGCAGTCGCACATTAATCCACATACTGTACATGCGCTGTACCTTCATTGAGTTTTGCCTCATCCTCATCATTTAAATCATGTGATGCTGATGAATGGGCTGAAGAGGTAGAAGGAAGGATCTTGCTGGGGGTGTCTGCCTTGTCTTTAATGAAAATTGTGGGGCATTTTGGGGTGAAAACAGTTCTTAGTGGATAAATTACAACTGAAAGAAAAAAATTATTATAAGTACTGTAATATCATGACATCTCAATAAATTTGTGATCAAATCTCGCAGCAAGTTAAGGGAGGTTTGTGGATGTCACAAGGGCACAGCCTGAAGGCAAGCCAAAGAGACTTCCACAAACCTGCTGAAGCTAACAAGAATATTTAATCACAAATTTCTTTATGATATGTATATAGTATTTTCATTGTAAAAAACCTCTTTTGGGAATAAGAGCATTCTTTCTTTATATCCATGTATTTTAATGAGGGATATATAGAATAGTGACATTTCCTGGGATACAATATGATCATAGAGGGGGAAAGAATACTTGTTTTACCCATGAACCTCATCTACTGTATGGTTTGGGATGAAAAACAAAACAATTTAACTTGGTTTATAAACAGGTTGTTTTGAGTGCATATAAGATCCCATACTGTTGATACTGAATACTAGAAATATTCAGGCAATTACTCATGACAAGAAATGAATTTTAGTGTTGATATTCTAATTGTTTCAAGTGCTGTAAAGTGTGCCTTCATTGTACCAGAGAGCCGCAGTGTGTACACTCACTCATGGTGTTTACATACTGAGACACTGATCACTGAGACAGACCTACGTTGTAGTTTGTCCTTTCCATATAATATAGAAGGCAACTCCAGTTCTAACTGATAATTGGTCTCTATTGAGATCCTTTCAGTTCTTCCATCTTTCTTTGTCTCCCTATGTGAAAAGACAGGTATATATGTATATATTTCCTATTAATTGTTATCTCTAATATTGTTATAATTGAAAATCCACTATTAAATCTGTTGATGCAGTGATGTTTATTCATTGATTTACACATGATTTTAACATTAAACTTACCTATTCAATTCCACTTGTAAATTTGTGCCTAGACCTAAAGACTTTGCTATGCCTCTAATAGCAGCTTGTTCACTATAAAAATCAATATCAAAAATCAATTTCATATAGACCATATAGTCCATAATAGGAAAATACGTCAAAACATGCTGGACATCAGGACATGTAATGATGTATGATGTAGCATAAATATTATGTAAAATAAATTAAATAATAAAAATCTAGAAGAGAAAAGGCGAACAGTTCTGTTTATAATCATTAACTTCATCCCCTTTATATCTCAAAGTCCTCAAAATATGCTAATTTTAGACGTATAATTTTATTCACGTGTAAATTATGAATTCACGCTCAGTCGCTCACTTCAAGACACTTACCAAACAGTCTCTTTCAATTTGATAATCTGTTTCGCTTCCTTGCTTACACGGCATCTAAATTTATTTTTCTTTCGATAATTCTCCCCTCCTTTTCCTTCTTCATAAAATAATGCCACACAGTCAATAATAACCTCCTCACTTTGACCACTTTGTCTTTCTTCGATTCGACTGTCCGCCATTTGTATTTTGTGCGCAATGTCCACTTTGGATATATATGGATACCTATGGTTATGATCGTCAACCTACCGATCCCTACAAAATCCTCAAGATCCAAAAATATCCTAAACATGTTGAGATTCCAAAACGAGAGCAAGGCTTTCGCGTCCTCGAGCAAAGCAAGGGCGAAGTAAAGAATATTAAGGCAATACAAGGTTAAATTTACCGAATACCGTGTACTAAAATGCCACAAAACCGCGTACCGCAAGATTAAATAAAACCGAAATACCGCTCTTAAAAAATTATATTACTGAAATACCGCATAAAAAATATCTGAAAACCATAATACCGAAAACCCCAATGCCCCCCTCCTCAACTGTTTTAGGGTAAAATGACCATGGCGGTCAACATGGCATATGTGCCAAAAGCTGAATCCGGGACGAAAGTCCTGAAAATGACCCCGCCCTGAAACGGCAGTGTCGACATAGCTCTAACTTCAGAAAACAAAAAGCGATAG